AGATTCATTGAGCCAACAAGGCTGTGGCTGCGGGTGGTAAGGAATAAGGATCAAGAGGCTCACAAAGGAATCCAGACGTCTGCTTCACTGAAGTGGAAAACCATAATATATGGCAGGACAAGTTGCTTAGAAGCCAACTAAACTAGCTGAGAGTAGGCATAAGGTGTGGAGAGAGAGAGAGAGAGAGAGAGAGAGAGAGAGAGAGAGAGAGAGAGAGAGAGAGAGAGAGAGAGAAATTCAAGGTGTGTCACTGAGTTGGAAAGAAACAGCCAGTCCTAAATCATAGAACAGCCAGCTCTAAATCATAGGCTCACCTCTCAATTTGATGGAAATGCCAGTCCTGGGTTCTCTTGTCCTCTGGGAAGGAAGGCCCTATGTTTGGAGAAAGAAGCTATTGAACATCTCTGTTCCCTTTTGCTGAATCCATAAGTTCCTTGTGCAGTTCTAGGAAAACAAGAACATTTTGGGCTCACTTCTTTGTAGGTTAAATATTGCATTAGGTCAAAATTTGTAACCCCAGCTGGGGAAGGTTAATTGGGGGAGGGGGGGAGAAGAGGAGATATATGTACTACTATATGTAATATTTTAAACAATTTAAAAAAATTGTAAACCCAAAATACTACTAATATTTGGACAAGCAATTGGGCCTAAAAGCTACGCAGAGGTTAGGAACAAAGAGTAGGAGCAAGTTAAAAGTAAGATAAGCTGAAACCGGTTTGGCTCAGTGGTAGAGCGTCGGTCTGCAGACTGAAAGGTCCCGGGTTCGATTCCTCCCTGGTAGGGGATGTGCAAGAGGCAGCTGGTTGATGTTTCTCTCTCATCGACGTTTCTAGCTCTCTATCTCTCTCGCTTCCTATCTGTAAAAAAATCAATAAAATATATATTTTTTAAAAAGAGTCTATTAATTCTATAAAAAAAAAAAATAGGATCCTCTCCTGGGGTGTATATGGCAGCTGACAGTCTAGAACTTTTTCTGCAAAAAGTAAATAGTTTAGACTGTAGACCATGGGGTCCTTGTCACTTTTCTGCCATTGTAGAACAAAAGCAACCATAGACAATACACAAATAAATGAGTTTGCTCAGCTACACAAATAAAAAAGAAATGTGCAAATTGACCATCCTTCTGCTATGCCCACCAGCCAATCGAAGTGAGTATGCAAATTAACCCAATAAAGATGGCAGCAGCTATGGAGTTGGAGCAAGCAGGAGATTTGGGTTTCCCCAGGTGATGGAGGAAGCCAAGCTTCCAGCCCGCCCTGGCTGCCACTCAAAGAGGGGCGGGGGTTTGGCCAGCCTGCAAATAGCCATCAGCCCCTCACGTAGGCCGGCCAGGCACCCCAGTGGGAACCCCCACCCTGAAGGGGGTGTTGCCAGTCTGAGAATGGCCCTCTGAAGGGTCCTGGGTTCAATTCTAGTCAAGGGCACATGCCTGGGATGCAGGCTCAATCCCCAGTAGGAAGCATGCAAGAAGCAGCCCATCAATGATTCTCTCTCATCATTGATGTTCCTATCTCCCTCTCCCATCCTCTCTGAAATAAATAAAGAAATTTAATAAACAAATACTTGTTGAAAAAGTGTTAAAAAAAAAAAAAAGAGTAAGACTTAAAATAATATAGAAATTGGGGCTGCTCAAAATTTGCAACTATTAGGTGGGCTGTGCATTTTCAGGAATATTCTACAAATACAGAATCTATTTTGCACCTTAAGAGTATATAATCATCCAATTTGGAAACCACATCTTTCATGAATGTCCTTTGATTACCCTTTGGTAGAAAGCTTGCTTGCTGTGGTATATTACAATGTGCAAAGCTTTAATGAACTTTTAAAATAGGTCTCCTCATAAGTCCTTGAACTTTGTGACCTAAATTAAAACTCTGGATCATAATTTTTAATTAGTAAAATTTCATAGTAGTTTATTAAAATTATTAAGCACTTTAATATTGATACAGGTATATCTTTATTAACTTTTTAAATTTTTTAAAGAAGCTGTTTTCTGGTCCGTTGATGTCAGAAAATCCCAAATATAGTTTGGAGATCTCTCAAATTCAGGAGAAACTTAAAGGCCTAAAGAAAATTACTTATAGACATTTTTCTATGGTGCCTTTTTCTGGTGGCACTGCTATGAACCTTTTCTAACATCTGGTTCCAATCAACACTGAGAAACAGAAACTCAGTTTTGGAGGGCAATGAAACAGAGATACTCAGAACCCTTAATTTACAAAGAAACCCCTAGTTCAATGTCTAATTCTTTGTTTAAGTATCAAATACAATCCCATTAAAATCAATTCAAGAAGTGCTATATTTAGAAAAATATTGCCCAACCAGCATGACTCTTGTTTGAGCATGGATCTATGAACTAAGAAAAAGGGCATAGGTCAAGGCACATGGGTGGGCTCCATCCCCAGTAGGGGGAGTGAAGGAGTCAGCCTATCAGTGATTCTCATTGATGTCTCTCTCTCTCTCTCTCTCTCTCTCTCTCTCTCTCTCTCTCTCTCTCTCTCTCGTTTCCTGCTCCATTCCCAGTAAGGGGGAGTGCAAAAGGTAGCTGATCAATGACTCTTTCTCATCATTGATGTTTCTATCTCTTTCACCCCCTCCTTCCTCTCTCTGAAATAAGTAAAAATATTTTTTTACAGAAATGGATAGTGGTAATAGTTGCACAACATTGTGAATGTACTAAGTGCCAATGAATTGTATACTTGAAAAGGGTTAAAATGGTAAATCATATGTATATCTTATTACAGTAAAAATACATTAAAAGATTCATAACTTTTCAAACTTTTGTGGGTACTATGAGACAGAGAGAGACAGGCAAAGAGAACAGTAATTTCTCAATGCAAGGAAGGGAAATGAGTTTCATGTCAGTAATTTTAAGGGTAAGGTAGGAAAAGCCAGGCACCTGGTCTACTTTCTAAAATCAAAACTAAGTAGAGATCCAAAATAACTACCAGGTCAATATGAGCCAATAAAACTTGTCCCCTTTTCTATTTCTAATTTGTGTTGAGTTAAAAGAGCATCTTCCACTTTACTGCTTCTCCAGTTTTCTGGGTTTGTTTGGGGGTTTTTTGGTTGTTTTTTCTTAATTTATTTCTTGTTTATTTTTTATTTATTTTTTTTAGAGAGGGAGATTGATTTGTTGTCTCACTATTTTATGCACTGATTGGTTCTTTTTAAATTTTGTTATTTTTTATTGATTTCAGAGAGGAAAGGAGAGGGAGAGAAACATCAATGATGAGCATGGATCAGCTGCCTCCTGCACGCCCTCTACTGGGGATGGAGCCTGCAACCTGGCATGTGCTCAGGAATCCAACCTGAGATCCTTCAGACTGTAGGCTGACGCTCTATCCACTGAGCCAAACCGGCTAAGACAATTAGTTTGTTCTTATGTGTGCCCTGACCAGAGATTGAACCCGAAACCCTGGTGTATGGGGACTGGTGTATGGGGACCATGCTCTAATCCAGTTGAGCGACCCAGTCAGCGTTCAAGTTTTAACTGGTTTGGCTCAGTGGATAGAGCTGGCCTGTGGATAGAGCTGGCCTTAACTTATTTTATTTTTAAATATATTTTATTGATTTTTTTCAGAGAGGAAGAGAGAGGGATAGAGAGTTAGATACATCGATGAGAGAGATTCATTGATCAGCTGCCTCTTGCACACCCCCTACTGGGGATGTGCCCGCAACCAAGGTACATGCCCCTGACCGGAATCGAACCCGGGTCCCTTCAGTTCACAGGCCAGCTCTATCCACTGAGCCAAACCAGTTTCGGCTCAAGTTTTCGTTTTATTTTATTTTATTTTATTTTTAAAAATATGTTTTATTGATTTTTTAGAGAGAGTAAGGGAGAGAGATAGAGAGCCAGAAACGTCGATGAGAAACATCAACCAGCTGCCTCCTGCACACCCCCCACCGGGGATGTGCCCGCAACCAATGTACATGCCCTTGACTGGAATCGAACCTGGGACCTTTCAGTCCGCAGACCGACGCTCTATCACTGAGCCAAACCGGTTTCGGCTCAAGTTTCCGTTTTAAATATAAACAACTTATAAGGTGCTTATTGTGTTTACTTTTATCATCTTCAATATTCCAACGCACACAAACTTTTTTTCAGCATTGTCTCGGAACAATAACTCGTTTTTCTCTGAGATACCACATCTCTAAACGGGACTGCCAATGGCTTGTCCGGTGCATATAGAAAGGAACTTTGTTCAAAAGTTAACACCAAAATGCCTTTACCCCTCACTTCCTGGGACTTAGGACCGAGGGCGGCTCTCCCTCGGGAATCTCCTAACAACACCCCATTCCATAAGGGTTTTCTCACCCTCTGTAAACGGCCATAGTTCTATTCTCCGGGCGGCTCCAAAGGATTCTGGGAGTTGGGGGAGGGGCGTGAGGAACAAAAAATTAAATGTTGGCGACAGACCGGCAGCGGATAGGTTTACGATTATCAGCCAGTTGCTGAGCGATTTCTCAAACCTTTCCACCAGTTCCCTCACTTGTCTCACTCGGTAAGCAAGCTCGCGTTCTTTCCCTTCCACGCCCCGCCCCTCCTCTGCCCCATTAGCCAATCATCGGGCTGGTGCTTGCCAGTCCTGGCCAATCCCGAACCCGCTTCTTCTGAGCGGGAAAAGCTCAGAAGCTGCGAGAGAACGAGGTCGGCTAACCGCCCGCTCTCAGCCCTGTCTCTGGGGGGTGGAAGGTAACGGGCCCTAGAGGCAGTTGCCCATTGGCTAGGCTGCGGGCCAATGAAGGGGGTGCAAAGCGGGGGGCGGGCCTGGGCGGTTCGGTGCCGGGTCGCGAGGCGGGGGTGGGCAATATAACGGCCTCTCCCCCGCACCCTCCTTCCCCGCTCCGAGCCCCCCACCCACGGACCCGCTCCAGGCAGCGCCCGGGGCGGCGGCGGCGGCAGCGGCGGGGTGCGGGCTGAGGGAGCCGGGCCTCGACGCTCCCCTCACCCCGGTGCCCCAGGAGCTGTACCGAGTCCCAGAGGGGCTGAGGGTCCCATGGAGGTGAGAGGCGGACACCCCTGGCAGCTCCCTCACCCTCCAGGCCTAAGGGAGGGATTTGAGGTAACCGGTAGGGACGGCCAGGGTCTGGGTGGCGACCGGACTTGGAGGATGGCGACCGTGAGAAAAGGCTGAGGAGAAGGCGCGTCCCTAGATGCCGTTCTCTGAGGAGGTCGCCTCAGGGCAGGAGAGGGCAGGTCGCTTTTGAAGAGCCTCGACGGGGCGCCCGGGCCGCGCCGCGGGAAGGGGCTGAGGGCGCGGCGACAGGTCAAGCGGGGGGCGTGGGGTTCGCGGCGCGGCTGACTGGACTGGCCGGGAGGCGGCGACGCCCGGGCTGCCGTGCGGCCTCCACGTCGGGCGGCGGGCGGCGGCGGCGCTGAGGCGATGGCCGGCGGTGGAGGCCAGCGAGGGCGGGCGGCTGCCGCGCCGCGGACGGCTGGAGGGCTGGGAGGGATCCGAGGGACGCGAGCCCGGGCCCCAAGTCCGCGTCCTCGTCGGGGATTCGGAATTGAGTTAGGCTGTTAGGGGAACGGCCGAGGTGAACAGTGATGCCATTTCCGCCGAGGCTTCGCCCCGCGTAATGTCTCTCTCCGGTTTCCTGTTCCTGCTCGTGCAGCCCAAGGTGGCGTTCCGCGGAGGCGCGAATCGCTGCTGGAACCTCAGTGCCGACCCCAGCGGCAGACTAACGGATGTGTTCGGCGGCGTGATGTCCGGCTCCTCTTCCTTCTATGATTGCTACAAAGCGCAGGTGCATTCACCCGCTCTGCCCTGTGTCAGACGGTTTATGTATTCGAACCAGATTCATTGACCTGAGCCGAGTCATAGGGGTGTTTTTAAATCGCTCCAAGTTTAAGACCAGAAAGCCATGACAACATTTCACAGAATACATACTTTGCTTTGAAAACAAGTTAAGGAATACGATTTTTAACTGATTGTTGTTTTCGTCCTGTCTTCAATGATGTCAGAAATGTACGAAAATACGTATTTACTTAGTAAGACCTTAAAAATACTTTTTCCCCCCTTCAAGCATTTATTGTAAATCCGTACAAACATACTTTTGATAATTTAAAGATGAAACTTTTGTCACGTCTCTATTGTCTGGCTTCAACAGTGTCTTTCAATACTACCTTTTACCTCGCCTAACACATTTAAATTTTGTTGTCATATTAAATCGGTCTTAGGAAAATAATGTAAGTCATTTCCATTTGAAATTATTTAACCAGGACACCAATGTTGATATTGTTGTACTTTGAATTATAACAATATCCTGAAATAAATTATTTAATCTATACATAGCCTTACAAAGTGTTATGCCCACTGTACAGATTGAGAAACTGAGGCTCAGAAAGCTTAATTTGTGTTTTCAGTGACAAAGTCCAAGTGGAACCCAGGTCTTTTCACTGCCAAGACCAGCATTTCACTGCTCTCTATAATGTTGACATCACTACTAAAATGTACTTGAATTTATTTTTAGTATATCAATAACATAAACAGTAAATTTTGCAGTTACCAGGATCTAATATGCCTGCCCCAAGTATTTGCATATTTAATTTTTGTAAACGTTTTAACTGAAAGAGATCCATATATTTAAAGTATAATTATCTTTGAATTTACCGCATTACTTTAGTTGCTTGTTTTATCCTGTAATATAAAATTTTAATCAATCTTTAAAATATTTAACTTTTCTAATACTCAAAACTTATTTTAAAATATGAAATGTACTTGAAAGAATTCCCAAAATATATTTGGTTTCCAGTACTCTTTACCTCATTTGATATTTGAATAGGAAAATGCTCTTTTGTTTAAGCAATAATTTAAAAATTATGAACAGCCCTGGCCCATACGATCAGTGATTATAGCAACCCCCTGTGCACCATAAGTTCTCAGGTTTTTGGGTTCTACTGTTTGCTTCCCAGTCAAGGGCATGTACCTAGGTTGCAGGTTTGATCCCTACCTCTTGTGCTAGAGACAACCAATTGATGTGTGTCTCTCACTTCATGTCTCTTGCTCTCCCCCCTTCCTTTTACTCTCTGTATCAATGGGAAAATATCCTCCATTAAAGGATTAAAAAACAAGATGGACAATAACTTATGGCACTTTGGATTCTTCACACCTAAAAAAGAGTTAAGGTGGGCCTATGAGAAAAACTTCAGAACTAAAGGAGTAAAGTTATGAAAGGTTCTAAAGATAAAAGTTACTAACATCTAGAAAGATAGTTTTAGTGGCACTCTTAGCAAAATGGTTGTAAAATATTTGAGGGTTTTTTTTTTTAGATTCTTGATGATGGATAATTTGAAGGTATTTTCATATTTTATTATTAAAGTATAAAACAATTTAGGAATATGGGAATACTTTATGTCTTCTCTTTTTATGTATTTTTTTTCCAAATAGGTTTTTATTGATTTTAGAGAGAGAGAGGAAGGGAGAAAGGAGAGAGACAGAAAAATGATGAGAGAACCATTAATTGACCTCCTGTACAAACCTGGTGACCCCTGGGTTCATGGGACATGCCCAACCATCTGAGCCAAACTGGCCAGAGCAATGTAAATTTTGATTAAAAGAATAAAAGCAGCCCTGGTTGCCCTAGCCCAGTGGTAGGCAAACTCATTAGTCAACAGAGCGGCAAACCACGGCTTGCTACATGTGATTCTCGAGCCACAGTTTGCCAACCACTGCCCTAGCCAATTGCTCAGTGATTAGACCATCTACCTTAGGACTGAAGGGTCACGGGTTCGATTTCCAGTCAAGGGCAGTACCTCAGTTGCAGGTTCCCCAGCCCCAGTAAGGGTGCATGGAGGATACAACCAATCAATGTTTCTTTTTCCCTCCCACACTCTAGAAGTCAATGGGGAAAATATCCTAAAATATATCCTTGGGTGAGGATTTTTAAAAAGGGAATAAAAGCAATTAGAAAATAATTTAAGTCAGGATTATATTCTTCTGTATTTATAAAAGTACAAGTGGGACAAAAGTAGGTTTACAGTTGTTTGTATGGAAAATAATATAATAATAAATAATACAAGAATAAACTCTGTGTTTCGCATACTTACAATGGTAAACCTACATTTGCTCCAGCTTGTATAAAAAATAATTTCTACTGTGTTATATCTGAGATATATATACTGTCATTATATCTCAGGTTTTATTAGTTCTTTATTTAGAGAGTTAAAAATTGTGAACCTATACTTTCTGACTCCTTTAAAGAAGCGTTTTCTAGAAAAAAATGCATCTAAGTGTTTAATCTTTGCCCTAGCCAGTTTGCTCAGGCCTGTGGACCAAAAGGTCCCAGGTTTGATTCCAGTCAAGGGCATGTACCTCGGTTGCAGGCTCCCCTGGGCTCAGACAGGAGACAATTATTTCTCTGTCTTTTCCTCTCCCACTCTCTCTAATCAATGGAAAAATATCCTTGGGTGAGGATTAATATATGTTTAATCTTTTATTATTATACTTGGAGCCTGTTTGCAAGAAGATTCCTGCAAGCGGCCACGCATGACCCTGCCCGCGCTTTCCCTCTGGCAGCTGCCTTGCTTTCCGCTTTTCCTTCTTCCTTCTAAGCTGTCTTCAGTCTTCATTCCTCCTTCCCTCAGTGTATGCAAATTAACTGCCAGCTTTGTTGGGTTAATTTGCATTCTTGCTCTGATTGGATGTGGGCGTAGCAAAGGTACGGTCAAATAACATTTTTCTCCTTTATTAGTGTAGATTCATTCTATAATACTATTTCAAATATTTTAAATTTTTTTTACTGCTCAATTGTTTTTGGAAGGAGATAGGATTTTAAATCATTAACATCTTAAAATTCAAACTTTCACTTTATTTACTCAGAGTTCATTATAGAACTGTTCATGCAAAAAAAGAAAAATTAAGTGCCATTTTTCTCCTAATTGAAGTAATATCTTTAAATTTTCTGAAGAGATTATAATGTTTTATATATCATCTCATTTTTATAATATATCTTGGAAATAAAAATGAGACTGAAAATTAAAGATACTGTTTTAAAATGCCTTAGAGGCCTAGAGCTAGTTAGCTCAATGGGTAGAGCATCGGTCTGTGGACTGAAGGGTCCTGGGTTCAATTCCATGTTCAGGAGGCAACAAATTGATGTTTGTCTCTCACATCAGTGTTTCTCTGTCTCTTTCTCTAAACCTCCTTTCCACTCTCTAAAAATCACTGGGAAAATATCCTTGGGTGAGATTAACCAAAAATAAAATAAAAAAGAAAATTGTCCTAGAATAGGAATAAGAAGGCCTTGAGTTTAGGTTTTAGTTTTGTCACCATGGGCTCAGTAACTTATAGCCTGTTTTCTCATTTTTCTATTTTAATAGAATACCCATGTCTCTGGGTTGACTGAATATAAGAATGTATATGAAATTTGTTTGAAATTCTATATAAATATACATTAACTTTTTTAAAAAGATTGGGAACATTAAGACTTTTATAAGTGATATGTGAAATATAACATTGCTAGTGTCCACATTATGTTCAACAAATTAAAACTACAATAATTATAGGTATTTTAGACTAGGTAAAAACAACAAGTACCTCCAGGGATCAGATTAGATCTGCCAAGTGCCTGTTTTTTGTTTAAAAAACATTTTTTGGAATACAGCTGTGTGCATTTGTCTTCATGTTGTTGTTTATTGTTGTTTCTTTTTTTTTTTTTTTTTTTTTTGTAACCCAGATATTGTTTTCCCCCATTGATTTTTAGAGAGAATGGGAGGGGGAAAGAGACAGACAGACAACAGACAGCCCTGGGATTGAATCTGCAATCCATGTACCTGCCCTTTACCAGGAATTGAACCTGTGAACCAGCCAGGGCTATCTTAGTTGCTTAAGGAGACCTTATCAGTCAGCAAACCCTAGTATATATTATTTGGTTCTTTTTTTTTTTTTTTTTTTAATCTGGCTCTTTACAGAAAAAAATTTGCCAATCCCTGGTATAAAGTAAGCTTAAATGGCTAAATCTAGATTTGATTTTGTCTCTCAACTCTTACGCATGTATTATTTCCTCCTATTTCTTATTTACCACTAATATTCTGTAATAAATATAGTTTAAAAATGGCTGATACATAAGCATTTCTTTAAAATTTCAGAGTGAAGACAATGTTGACCTAAGGCAAACCTATAATCCACTTCCTTCATCAACTGAATATGCAAGTTCTGTAGATTCTTCAATTTTCTATGCACCATGGTCTACTTATGGTGATGATATTAAGCCGCCTTCTAATTCTCAGATTAATGTAAAGAACAGGTAAATTAATTAATTGTATTTTTCAGGCTAAATTAAGTGTTTTTAAGTTTGATTACATGGGAACCCAATTGTATTAGCTCTGTTCCCTATATCAGCATTTTAATTTTATCTTATTAATTTTTATGACATAATTTTGTGTTTATCAAACTTTTAGGAAACCCTAAACTGGGCAGTTATCTTATACTAGAGGCCCAGTGCATGAAATTCGTGCACAGGGTGAGGGAGGGAGTGTCCCTCAGCCCAGCCTGCACCTTCTCCAATCTGGGACCCCTTGAGCGATATCCAACTGCCCATTTAGGCCCAATCCAGCCAGGATCGAGCCTAAACGGGCAGTTGGACCTCCCTCTCACAATCCAAGGCTGGCTCCCAACTGCTTGCCTGACTCTGCCTGATTGCCCCTAACCGCTTCTGCCTGCCAGCCTGATCACCCCTAACCCACTCCACTGCCAGCCTGATTGATGTCTAACTGCTCCCAAGCTGGCCCAATAGCCCCTAAATACCCTCCCCTGTCAGCCTGGTCACCCCTAACTGCCCTCCCTGCTGGCCTGTCACCGCTAACTGACCTCCCCTGCAGTTCTGGCCCCCCAACTGCCCTCTCCTGCAGACCTTGTCCCACCAACTGCCCTCCCCTGCTGGCCTGGTCTCTAACTGCCCTTCCCTGCAGGCCTGGGTCCCCCCAATTACCCTCCCCTGCAGGCCTGGTCCCCCCAAACTGCCCTCCCCTGCAGGCCTGGTCCCCTCAACTGCCCTCCCCTGCTGGCCTCATCTCCCCAACTGCCATCCCCTGCTGACCTAGTCTTCCCAACTGCCCTCCCCTGCTTGCCTAGTCTACCCAACTGCCCGCCCTTGCTGGCCTAGTCTCCCCTGCAGGCCTGGCTCCCCCCAACTGTCCTCCCTGTAGGCCTGATCCCCCCACCCCCACAACATCCTTCCACTGCATGCCTGGGTCCCTCCCAATTGTCCTCCCCTGAAGGCCTGGTCCCCCCAAACTGCCCAACCCTGCAAGTTGTGTCTCCCCCGCAACTGCCCTCCCTTGCTGACCTCATCTCCCACAACTTCACTCCCCTGCCAGCCATCTTGTGGCAGCCATCTTGTGTCCACATGGGGGTGACCATCTTGTGTCTTGGAGTGACAGTCAATTTGCATATCACTCTTTTATTAGATAGGATAATAAAAGCCCAGCAAACCATATCAGCAGAGTGACCACTCAGCCTATCACTATGAAGTGCACTGACCACCTCTTGGTTCCTTTCCCCAGCAGGCTTCCATTGCCCTGTGGTGAATAGGGAACTGGAGTGGGTGGCGAGGGTGGTGGTGGTGGTGGTGGGGGACTGGTGAGTGAGTGGAACAGCCAACCTCTTGATCCCTCCCCCTGGCCAGCAGGCTCCAATCGCTTGATGGCGAATGGTGACCTCGGGTGGGTGGCAGATTCTCATCATTGTAGTTTGTCTCTCTCCCTCTCCCTTCCTCTCTGAAATCAATAAAAACATTTTTAAAATGTTTTTTATTGAGACAGAGAAGAAGGGAGAAGGATAGAGATATAGAAACATCAATGAGAAATATAATCCATTTGCTGCCTCCTCACTCTTACTGGGGATTAAGCCCTGACTGGGAATCAAACCAGTGACCTCTAATACACCTTTCTTTTAATATATTTTTATTTCAGGAAGGAAGGGAGAGGGAGAGAGAGAAACATCAATGATGAGAAAGTATCATTGATCAGCGCCTCCTACACGCTCCCTACTGGGGATCAAGCCCGCAATCTGGGCATATGCCCTAATCAGAATCAAACCAGGGGACCCCTCAATCCGCAGTCTAACGTTCTTTCCACTGAGCCAAACCGGCTAGGGCTAATACAAGTTTCTTAATATCTCAAATGATCATTCAACAGCTAAATAATTACTAGTACTTGCCCATCTTATGTTATGAAGATCAATGAAATGTTTTGAGTGTTATGCAAACATAAGGTTTTTTTTTTTTTTAAATGCCCTAACACTATTAAATGTTAGAAACGAAATATGAGAAAACAAGAAGTTACAATTTTAAAAAATGTATTACTACTAGGAACAAATTACCCAAAATCCATAAGGGTAAAAAGGCACCAATTTTTCTTCTACGTATGGTTTTTACATTTTGTATTATTTAAACAGTGTTAGTCACCAGGTAGCATTTCAGATACGTGAAAGTCTAGTCACCTCTTTGGCAAGGATTTAGAGATAGTCTCCAATTCTGTTATAATATATTTAAGGAACAATTGCAATAGTGCTGTGTTATCTAGGATGACCATATCACATTTTACTTTATATTCCAATATAAAGAGACACAAAAATCAAGCAACAAGTTCACATGGCTTTCAAATTGCAAATGAAAAGTCTGAGTAAGTGTTGGTGGGAGGATGTATAATAGGATCGAATATGCTTTCAGGAGCAGCCATAGTACAGTACCAAGCATCATAAGTCAGAGATTTGTATTTTGGTAACCTAAAATGAATTGTGTTTTGGAGAAATAAGAGGTAAGTATATATTGTGACTAGACATAGGATTTGAAATGAAGGAGAAGTATTTATGTAACATAGTAAGCTAAAGTGGAAATTATTCCTGAATTGTTCCTTTATTTGAAATTATGGTATAGATTCAATCCAAATATTTTATAGAAAATAATGGTAAGATAAATCTAGAAATAGAAATCAATATATTATATGATATTTCAGTGTGAGTAAAATTTGTCATGTAATATTTACTTTTTAGGATTCAAACAGAAAGAAATGATTATGGCAGTGAAACAGACTTATATGGACTTGTATCTAACATTTTGGAAGAACAAGATAAGTCACAGCCATATTTTGCTGATGGGTTAGTATGTCATATAAACTATACATTGTATAGTGAGCTTTCAAATTCACATACAGGATAGTGCAAAAGTAGATTTACAGTTGCAAGTACACAAAACATGGTTTATTCTTGCTATTATTATTGTTTTCCATGCAAACAACTGTAAACTTGTACACTAAATTATCCTATTAACTATTATTTTTAGTTAATAGAGGATCATCTAAGAGTACACATCTATATATATATATTTTATTATTGGTTTTTCACAGAGAGGAAGGGAGAGGGATAGAGAGCTAGAAACATCGATGAGAGAGATACAGAGAGATACATCGACCAGCTGCCTCCTGCACAATCCCGACCGGGGATGTGCCCGCAACCAAGGTACATGCCCTTGACTGGAATCGAAACTGGGACCCTTCAGTCCACAGACCGATGCTCTATCCATTGAGCCAAACCGGTTTTGGCAGAGTAGACATCTTAATTCAAATACTTGTTTTTAGGAGTCGATTTTGCAGAGATTGTTGCATACAATTAAAAGTTTCAATCTAAGGTTTAATCTAAGGTTTAATTTGCTATTAAGAACTTTCATTTGGAAAATTATTCTTGCATAATTCAAAGCTATTTCCCTTGAGTTCACAAACTAAGGTGTAGCTTAAAAAGTATAAATTCCAAAGGGAGAGTGTGTGTGTGTGTATCCCAAAGAATAAAACTAGCATTTCTCCTGTGCAGAAATGCATATGGATTTTATTCATTTGGTAAAAATTTTTTAAATATACATTGTTTTATTTGGGTATGGAAGCCATATTACCCAAATGCTTTATTTCATAAATAGGGAAATATGCAGCACATATGTAAACAAATAAAATATTTTAATTTCAATAATAGTTTCAACAAAACACATCCTTTTTCATTGAAAAAAATTGTGGTCAATGATACTTTTTGTATTATGTAATAACTCTAATTAAAGGAAAAACTTAACTTTGTTGTCTATTTACTATAGATAAAATATCATATAAGATTATGCAGTCATCAGCCTCAGGCCTTAGTTAATGCTTGTTAGAAAAGACATATTAAGATTAAAATACATATTTATATAGCACATTTCAAGCAATAGAGAATTATTTGAATGTAATGGTAGCATACAAGACAAAGTTGAAAACGATTAGAGAATGGGGAGGTGGGCGAGATAAATGTTTTTGAGAATCTTTCCTACCTTTTCCACTAAGGACATAAAATCTTTTAAAGTCTAAATTGTAATTAAATATATTTACTTGTTCTAGGACCTGCTCCTCCAATTTAAAGTCAGTTTGGCCAGTGAACACAAGCAGATTTGCAGATCACCATGACCTGTTAACAGAAACAAAAAGGCCAATAGATCCAGCCATCTCTCAGCAAGCTTTTTATACTGGTGAATCTGTGTCAGCAGTGGAAAAGCAATACCTTCATAATAGTAATATCACACCACAACAAAAAGTAGATGAACTTTATCATGGATTTACTGGTTTAGACCTTGAAGAACAATGGATGTACCCCTCACGAAGTGATCATTCTAATTGTTACAATATTCAGGCAAATGATACAGCTAAGACAACATTCCAAGAATATCCATTTGTCAAAAACTGTTTTACACTACAAGCTGGCCTCTCTGAGGTCATGAAAGAATCAGGAGCTGATACTTACCCATATGGAAGAGATAAAATGTGTGTTAAAAGTCTTGAAGCACCATTACAGCAGAAAAGGGCAGAGATATTTCTTTCCCAGTTTAATAGATACAATGAGAGTGCAGATTATTGTAGATACCCAGAATATGCTCATCCTAATAAGGCTAAACTTACTAAGTGTTCAAATTTTACTGTCCAAGATAGTAAAAAATTAGCCAATGGCACACCTGAAACACCAACTGTAGAAGCAGACAGCTACACAAAGTTATTTCAGGTTAAACCAGCAAATCAGAAGAAAATGGAAGAAACAATAACTGACCAGCAGAATTTCACATTTCCAAAAACTACACCACACCTGACAGAAAAACAGTTTGCAAAGGAAGCAACATTCACTGCTGATTTTGGCTTAAAATCAGAATATGGACTAAAACCTCATACAGTTTGTCCAGCTAATAATGATTTCGCTAATGTCACAGAAAAGCAACAGTTTGCTAAAGCTGACCCCCCAAATGCTGAGTATTTTAAATCAGTGACTTTATTGTCAAACTCAGCAACATCTTCAGGAGGTATCAACTTAAATAGGCCAACTTGGATGAATGTCCACACAAAAAATACTCCTATTCCTTATCGAAATCAAGGTAACTTGATGAAATTAAATAGTCATTTAAATGCAGCTTCAAAAGGTTCTAACCATTCTTCAGATTTCCCCCAACTATCATCCACAAATTTAACTCCAAATAACAATCTGTTTCAGAAGTATTGCCAAGAAAACCCTTCAGGATTTTCTAGTTTTGATTTCAATTATAATGGTGCAGAAAGAATTCAATCTGTCAATCACATGGAAGGACTGACAAAGACTGCAGAAGAAAATCTCTTTGAATTGGTTTCAGATAAAAAAATAAAGCAGCCAAACGGATTTTGTGATAATTACTCAATTCAGCAGTTTGGGATCATTGAAAATGTAAACAAACATAATTTTCAAACTAAGCCTCAGAGTGGACATTATGATCCTGAGGAAGGTGCAAAGCATTTAGATGGATTATCTCAAAATACATATCAAGATCTGTTGGAGGCACAGAGTCATTTTAATAGCCACAGACAGGGAAGTGGAGATAACAATATTAATAGCCGAGTAAATCGCACACAGGCGTCATGCTTTTCTAATTATACAATGGGAGATTTAAGACATAATCAGACTTTTCAACAACTTTGTTCAAATGGGTTTCCCCTAAGGTCCACCCACCCATTTGGCCATTCAGTTGTTCCACTTTTGGATTCCTATGATTTGTTTTCTTATGATGAGTTAAGCCATTTATACCCTTATTTTAATGATATGATGTATGGTGATAATTCCTTTTCTGGTTTTGTGCCAACTTTTGGATTTCAAAGACCAATTAAAACTCGTAGTGGACCAGCCAGTGAACTTCATATTCGTCTGGAAGAATGTTATGAACAATGGAGAGCATTAGAAAAGGAGAGAAAAAAGGTAACACAAAGCTATCCAATTCGGAGTAACTTGGTATGGCCCCTACATCTTTTATCTTAATGTGCTTTGAGTACTTGCTTTATTTCTAAGCTGAATTCTTCTTTAATGGCAGTATTTGTTAAATCCATGACTATAAGGAATTAAGTGATTTAAAGACAAAAAGCTGAGTGGGAGGAATGGAGACATTTGTAATAGTGACACCAATAAAAATAAGACTTAAAATAAATATGTAAAGAATAAAAAACTAAAAAAGTTTGAGGTTAAACAGAATTGTTACTTATGTAAAGCTTATTTTGCCAATGAAGTAGACTTTTTCCTTAATGGGTTTAAAGTTAATTTCTTTTAATTTTGAAAGTATTAAACTGTTGGAGTGTCCAGGTATTTTATTTGTATTAAGTATAACAGAAAAATACTGTGGTTTGTATTTGTTGCCTTTTGATACCAAAACAATTACTTAAAGCAGCAATTAATTTATGCTTAGGCCTAAGAAAAATATTACCATTGAATCATATTTGGAAAATTCATCATCTAAAAATTACATAATTTTTTACAGACTGAATTGGCCCTTGCCAAGAATTATCCAGGGAAAAAAGTATCCAGTACTAACAATACTCCAATTCCAAGGCTGACTTCCAACCCATCTAGAGTTGATCGCTTAATTGTGGATGAACTTCGGGAACAAGCCAGGGTAAGTTATAAAAACTTCCAATAGTAGACTTTTAAATTGCTTCATAAATTCTTATAACATTTCAGTAAGAAAGAATTCTAAAGATTTTTAAATCACACTTATGTGTAACTCTCTGACATATATTCTTTTCCATGTTTGGTCCTAGAACTGATTAATAATTAGGAAAGGAAAAATAGCCCCACTCAATTATTTAAAGCTAGATTTAATAACTTAAATGGTTCCTCTTCACACCGAAATTGGCAATAGAGTTAACAGAAAGAACTATTTCAGTGGGAAAATATTGATTTTACCTAGCTTTCAGCCTAGGTCAGTTGAGATTCTTTTATCAAATTTGTAAATTTGGCCCTAGCCGGTTTGGTTCAGTGGATAGAGTACCGGCCTTTGGACTGCAGGGTCCCAGGTTCAATTCTGGTCAAGAGCACATACCCAGGTTGTGGGCTCGATCCCCAGTTGGGGGCATGCAGGAGGCAGCCAATCAATGATTCTCTCTCATCACTTATGTTTCTATATCTCCCTTTTCCTTCCTCTCTGAAATCAATAAAAATATATTTTTTTTTTAAATTCGTACAATGGAATTTATCAATGTGTATACTGACACGGATTATAGCCAGATGTTATGTTAATAAAAACTTCAGTCTTTTATTATATTCTCTTAATACCATTCCAAGTTAAAACTCCTTTTTCTCAGTAATACATTTCTCAGCAATAAATCAAAGGATTCAAACTGTGGTTAAGAAATATACTTTTACCAGCTATTTAAAAATATTTTAAAATTGATTTCAAAGAAGAAGGGAGAGGGAGAGATAGAAACATCAATAATGAAAGTCCCCCACTGGGGACTGAGCCCGTTGACCAGAATGGAACTAAGGACCCTTTAATCCACAGGCTGACGCTCCATCCACTAAACCAAACCAGCTAGGGCTTACCAGCTTTGATAATGTGTCACATTAAGTTAGAAGGTTATGTTTATAGTGCCATAATTTTTTTATCTATATTTAGCAACATTAGATCAATAATACATAGAGGGAAAAATATTTTCACATGTACTATTTTCTAATATGCTAGTTTGTAGAATTCTGAAAAGTTTTTAGAGTTCATTAAAAATCACCAGTGCAAATTTACATTTATCATTTATTCAAAATGAGTGTCTTACTTAAAAAATATGTACTTGCCCTAGCTGGTTTGACTCGGTGGATAGAATGTCAGCCTGCAGACCGAAGGTTTGATTCCGGTCAAGGGCATGTACCTTGGTTGCAGGCACATCCCCAGAAGGTGGTGTGCAAGAGGCAGCTGATGGATGTTTCTCTCTCATCGATGTTTTTAGCTCTCCCTCTCCCCTTCCTCTCTGTAAAAAAAATATTTTTTTAATAAATATAAAAAATATGTAATTGAAAGTTCATTGAAAGTTTTTATATTGGGATTTTTTTCTGTTGTTATCCCTTCAAGGATCTAGCTGGTTGTACAATTGGGAGGAAAATATTTAGTACCTGTATACTTTTGTTTTTTCTATGGACCTAAACTGGCATAAACCTATTTCAAAGAAACTTGATATGAATGTGAGAGTAGAGGCATTGATTAGGTGCCTTCAGCTTCTTGAGAGGTATTTTACTACTCTTTCCAGTCACTGAACATCAAGTGCTTATGTGAATTTTAAATATTTTTTAAATTGATTTTTAGAAAAAGGAACATCGACTGGCTGCCTCCTGCTTGCCCCTCACCGGAATCAAACCTGTAACCCTGGGCTTGTGCCCTGACTGGAAAATGAACCTGTAATCCTTCGATGTAAAGGACAATACCCAACGAGCTGAGCCACACTGGCCAGGGCAGTTTTAAATCATTTAGTTAACAAGGGCAGTTATTCAAAAAGTTCTCTTTCCTCACACCTTCCAAGGTTAGAATTTGGGAAACAAGTTAGGAATATGAAACATACTCCCCTTACTGATTTAATATACCAGTGCCTTTTTAAAAGGTTAATTAACCAGAAGATTGAGAAATTTCCTAATTTTTCTTAGCAGTTCTGATAATTATAAGATTTTTTTTATTATTTCAATATAATTTAAGTCAACATTTTCTGGATTATCGATTCTTTAAAACTGCCACTAGTTCAGTACCATTATCTAAATGTTTCTGATTTCCAAAAGAACACTGGAGGCCCATAAAGGACTTGTTGAAGTGAGGATTGATCAGTCTAGGATTTCTGGCCCATAAAGGACTTGTTGAAGTGAGGATTGATCAGTCTAGAATTTCTCCCTTTTAGTTTATTTTTTCCCCCTTTAGATGACAGTACCTCTTTTATTTTATTTTATTTTAGAAGATAGGATCCATCTTTTTTATTTTATTATTATTTTATTTTATTGATTTTTTACAGAGAGGAATAGAGAGGTAGAAACATCGATGAGACAGAATCATCGATCAGCTGCCTCTTGCACAACCCCTACTGGGGATGTGCCCGCAACCAAGGTACATGCCCTTGACCGGAATCGAACCCGGGACCTTTCAGTCCACAAGCCGACGCTCTATCCATGGAGCCAAACCGGTCTCGGCTAGATGACAGTACCTATTAATAACACTAGTTGCCAAAAACAGTGTTGGATCTTGTATTTGCACTTCCTGTTAATGATATGGGAATATTAGGTTTGAATTTCCCATTGTTGTGTATTCCCATTAACTGATTACCTAAAAAGCTTTTAGAATTAATAAATACAAGTAGGCACAAAAGACAGACTTTCCATCTTTGTTACCCCCAATATGGTGTCAGGATATAATAAGCATTCAGTTATTTATTGAATGAATATTTTTACTTTCATGTTTATTCTGTTTTTTTGAAGATTTGTTTTTAGGTTAATGACAGGGCAATGTGGTTACGTGCCTTATCAAAATTTAAAATCTTTCCCCAGGTTGTAACTTTACTAGGCAAGATGGAACGTCTTCGAAGCTCTCCCCTTCATGCCAATATCTCTACTGCTCTTGATAGACACTTGGAGTCTATTCACATTGTACAGTCACGTAGAAAAGATGAAATTGTTAATGCTTCAAATCGTCAAAAGCAAGGAGTCCCTAGATGCCAAGATGACAGAGGTACAAATATTAATGCATATTACTTTGATAAGGCAATGAGATTGTTTGAATGTTAATAAAATCATATTCTAAGGTCAAAGGTCAGAATTCTAAGATTTCACTTATCTAAAGAATAAATTGGCCGGGACCGGTTTGGCTCAATGGATAGAGCGTCGGCTTGGGGACTGAAAGGTCCCGGGTTCGATTCCGGTCAAGGGCATGTACCTTGGTTGCGGGCATATCCCCAGTAGGAGGTGTGCAAGAGGCAGCTGATCAATGACTCTCCCATCGATGTTTCTGACTCTCTATCTCTCTCCCTTCCTCTCTGTACAAAATCAATAAAATATATTTAAAAAAAAAAAAAAAAAGAATAAATTGGTAAAGGTGCCCATATAATCTCCAAAGTACCTTGATCTGTTTTGTTAGTTTAATTATAATTCCATCAAAGTCTATGTTCTATCAAAAGCATAGTCATCCAGTAAAGCAACAGGCAGACTGTCAAATTACAGTGGGGAGGGGAGGAAGATCTGGGGGAGATAATAGATCAACCGAAGGACTTGTGTACATGTATATAAGTACAACCAATGGACATAGAACTCTGGGGAGGGAGGGTATACATGGGAGGGAGGAAGGGGGGCCAAAAAAAAATCAAAATATATATTTTTTAAAAAAAGCATAGTCATCATACAAGATACAAGTCAGAATAAAGTGTCAACACTTTAAAGTATTAAGTCAAGAACTTTGGTTAACTTAGTCAATACCTACCCTTCTTTTATAAAAATCACTAGAGGCCCGGTGTATGAAATTCATGCACAGGTGGGGTCCCTAAGCCTGGCCAGCGACCAGGGCCCATCAGGGCCTTCCTTTGTTCTGCACCGCACCCTAGTGGTCAGCACACGTCATAGCAAGCAATCAAACTCCCAGTCTCCTGGTCAAACTCCGAGGGGACACTTTGCATATTAGTCTTTTATATATATATAGATGATGTTTGATCATGTAGTAGCTCAGCACTGGGCTTTAAGAGGTAATGGAAACTTAAATGGTATCTAATGTCAACTGACTGTAAATGTTTCTTTTACAGATGTTTTTGCCCTTGCTGCAGCAATTAAAGAGATGTGTGTCGCTACTCGGAAGGCACGCACTACTCTGTGGTGTGCACTGCAGATGACCTTGCCTAAAACAGCCAATACAACTGGCCAAACAGATGTGGAGAAGGCTTTACAAGATATAGTAAACTGTGAAGATAAAGTCCATGAAAGCATAAATAGTAGCAATCAAATGAATCAGAGAGGTGACACAAACAAACATTAAGGAAATCCAGCAGAAATAAAAAGCTGATAAGTAAATGTATCAAGACATGCTCAACAATTGTAATGAACTTGTCAAACTTGAAAATTTCAATGCATTTTTTCAAACTTAGAGTTTAATACCTTAATGAAGTCTAACTTCAATTTAAAAATCTATTTGGAATGAATCAAATATAGTTTAAAGTGAACTCAATGGGAAAGTTGACTACTCAGAATTCTGAGTAGTTGAAAATAAGTTTAAGTAAATTAAATATTTCCTAACAGCTAAAATATTGCTTAAACCTATTCTGCAGTGCAGGTAAATGCAAATGTGAAATTCTTCTAGAAGATAAGTTTCATTTAGGTCTGCCTTAGTAAGTATAATTCCAAATAATGAATCTAAATGACTGTAACCCAATTATGGCTACAGTCTAGTAACCAAGACAAGTTTTGATTGTGATTTAAAAGTGTTTTCCTTACAAAACTGGATTAATACCTAGGAAACAGAGGAAAACAAGAATGAACCCAATATTCATGTAAAATTTTAATATTTAAACTACCATATTTATAATTTGAAATCTTAGTACTTAAGTATATGGAGGGAAATGCATCTGATTCTCCTAAATTAGTGGATAAAAGTGCCAGTGTAAAAACCATGCAAGTTACTGAATATAAAATCTGTTCAAATCATTTGTGTATATTAAGATTTAATTATACTATCAATTATTAAATATTTCCAATTTTAAAGTACATTGAATTGAAACAAAACATTTCCTTTACCTGGATCTTTTAGATTTAATGCACAGTAACTAAAATAATGACTATTGTTTTAATACCCTTAGTTGCTGCCTTTTATGAGGGTATCACGAAGTTTTAAAAAATGTATTTTTTTAAGGTTAGCCTTTAACTAGTTTAGTTTGCAATTGGTTAGTGTATATTTTGTGTAGTTGTGTTCATTAGTTTGCTTCTGTATTTTTTAAGAGCTCTTGAAAGCTTGGCTTTTGCTGTTTCTCATCACTTAATATCTTTGTATGGAACCCAAGTAATTTATTCATTAATATGAAATGTTGATATTATGTGACTCAGATCTTGGGTTTTAACATTTCTAGCATGAGTTAAACTATGATATAATGTACTGATGAAATTTAATTGAACTATCCTTGACTAGGAACACTGATGTTTTAAATGTTCGTGTTTTTCCTAGTTTTAGAAATCCTGGTATAAAAAGAGTGTAATCACACCACATAAATTTTCTTTAGATGATGTGCGGAAGAAACTGATTGAGAGAATTCAGGAGTAACTGTGGGGAGAAACATTTTGATCACTGATATGCCTTAGAACTACCAAATTAATTACATTGAAGGTAGTCAAATAAAATAGATCACCCACCACAGTCACTGCATAGAAAGTGGTTAAGTTTGACATAAGACATGTTGGATGTTATAACAAATATTGTACTAATTTAGTCTCTCAGGAAAATAAATTATTTTGTTGAAAATATTTGGTTTTATTTTTTACATTGTATCAGTTTCTAACTTGCAGAGTCACTCATGTCAGAAAACCAAATTTCATTTCATTGATAAAAACTGGTGCTACAGACTGTCAAATTACAGCGGGGAGGATAGGGAGATATGGGGGAGATAAGAGATCAACCGAAGGACTTTATGCATGCATATAAGCAAAACCAATGGCTGAAAAACCCTTGGGGGCAAGGGGGAGGGTATGTATGGGTGTGGGGGGGGGCAGTGGAAAGATATGTACACATATAATACCTCAATTTAAAAAAATCAAAATTAAATAAAAAATAATAAAAACCGGTGCTAAATTTTCAATTTCATTACAATTAACACATAAATAAAAATGTGGGTAGATAAATCAATACCATTCAGATACCTTTGCATTTAATCTTACCTCCTTCAAGATGAAACTTCTGCTCCCACTTTATGTTGATCCAGGCAAACTAGGGTAAAAATTCTAAGGAAGCTTTGACATGACAGTGGTCAAAATGAAATATTAGTCCATTAACAAAAACCAAACAAAAATTCTTTGAAATTTCTTTTATCGTGTCAACCTGTAAATAATTCTCAAATTAGTTGGTTGTCCCTTTCTAATGAATGGCTCTTATGTATTGTACTTCTGAATTAACAACCTATGAAAACCTTATAAACTTAATATCACACAAGACTTGTAGTGAAACTGATAAAACTGATGCTCTCATCATTTCTAACCCAAAAGAATTTGGCATATACTCAATTAAAAAAAAAAAAATAGAAAAAGCGACATAGAAGCATGGAGCAGACTGTCGAACCTCAGGGAATGTGGGGAAGGATAAGTGAGTGGGAAGAGATCAACCAAAGAACTTGTATGCATAAATGCATAACCCATGGACACAGACAATAGAGTGGTGAAAGCTTGGGGTAACAGGTAGAGACAGGCTAGAAGAGGTCAATGAGGGAAAAGGTGGGACATATGAATATTTTCAACAATAAAGATTTAAAGGTGGTTGAAAACTACCTTGAATTATATCAGTGTTCTTCCCATTTGGGAATTAATATTATGATTGAAATCCCAAATGTGGCTTTAAAGTATCAATCATACCATGTGATATTGTTTTTTTGTTTTGTTTTGTTTTGAAATATATTTTATTGATTTTGTACAGAGAGGAAGGGAGAGAGTTAGAGAGTTAGAAACATCGATGAGAGAGAATCATTGATCAGCTGCCTCTTGCACACCCCCTACTGGGTATATGCCCACAACCAAGGTACATGCCCTTGACCGGAATCGAACCTGGGACCTTTCAGTCCCCAAGCCGATGCTCCATTCATTGAGCCAAACTGGTTTCGGCCATGTGATATTGTTTAAAATTTGTCCTTTGCAATAATAAACATTTTAGATGTAAAGATTTATTAGCTCTTGAGTTAAATGAATAAACTTAAAGCCTAATGAAGTAAAAAAAAAAAAAAAAAAAAAAAAGCTTAATGAGCTAACTTTTTTTTTCTGTTGAAACATTAGTTCAAGTGTACACTTAACATACATTGAGCCAAGCTGGGACCGGTTTGGCTCAATGGATGGAGCGTCAGCTTGGGGACTGAAGGGCCCCGGGTTCGATTCTGGTCAAGGGCATGCATCTTGGTTGCGGGCATATCCCTAATGGGGGGTGTGCAGGAGGCAGCTGATCGATGACTCTCATTGATGTTTCTAGCTCTGTCTCTCTTCCCTCCTCTCTGAACAAAAATCAATAAATTAAAAAAAAAAAAAAAAAAACATACATTGAGCCAAAGACATTCACGGGCTCCAAAAATTGCCAGGCCTGGGGCTCTAATAAAAAACCATGGAAGCTTCTGCTTAACTCCACACAAAGAACCCAAAGAGCAACATGCCATAGTCTAAATGGACTTGTTGCCATACCACTTTAAAAGAGTAGATAGCAAACGATAAAAAGACTGGCCATGCAGCCAAACACCACTGATCATAGACACCAAACTAATACATAACATCCCAGAAGAAAGAATTAACTGCTGTTATAGCAGATTGAAACAAGTACCCTTCAGGGGTCCATGGATATAACCCAACACTGCTCCAGAGACCCAATCAAGGTGAGAATCAACCAAAAGTAAGGATTTACTAAATTAAAATATACAATCTGTAGACACAGGCTATTGCTACTGCCACATAAAGCTCTAAGATTACAACAGTACTTCAAAGCCAATTTACTGACTTCCCCAATATATAAGGTAATCTTTCTGATCTCCCAATACTCAACCTCACAGACAGGAAAACTGAGGCAGAGAATTTATGGATTTCAGGAAGTTCTACTTGTAGTTCTTAGAGCCAAGCATAAGGTAAAATTCAGCACATTCCTAAGCACAGCATTCATCTCCAAAAGTAGCTGAAAAGAATCAGAATAAGTCAGAAGACACTGCTTTAAATAAAGTTTATTTTTTAAAAAGGTTATTTAATTTTGCAAATGCCACGGTTATAGGAGTGTATAGTGGTAACACATATTTTCCTTAACCATGCTTCTTTTTACTTTCTGCACAAAGGTAAAAACTTTTGTTAATCTCAATGGTATAAAACAGAGGTCAGCAAACTTTTCTTCTGAAGGTTCAGATAGTAAATATTTTAGGCTTTACAAGCCACATAAGGTCTCTGTCATATATTCTTTATCGACCCTTTAAAAACAAAATCCATTGTTAGCTTGCACCATATAAAAACAGACTAGGCCAACTTTGTCTTGCAGGCAGTAATTTGCTGACCCCTGGTATAAAATATCTACTTTGTTTTGTTGGAGAAATTGTTCTCTTCAGACTTCTTGACAATCTTGCCCGAAGGAGAAAGACCTGATTTAAAATTGAATGTAATTTGTGACAAAAGTAGAAATAGAGAATTCCTGCTCACTTTTGACTCTCCCAAGCAATTTTCCCACTCACTCATTCAATTAATTCGTTGAGCACTTACTATGTACACTCTTAAATATCTGTGAATAGAGATTTCCAGTGTTTCTTCCTGAAAAGGTAGTTCCTCTAAACCTGTAATTATCAGGTCTTTATATTCATGTTTTAGGGCAAATCAGGACTAAAATCTCTACTAGCAATCAAGAGAAATCTAGCTAACAATGATATCCTTGCACACAATACTGACACACCCTTCTTAAAATCACAACCTAGAGGAAAATTATAACTATTGTTACTTTAAAAAGATACTTCCTTTCTTCCCATAGGGTAAATTTGTATTTTAATTCTCAAATCTAGAACATCCATCAAAAAATTTCTTCTCATTTTCCTAGTTTGTTGCCATGCAACATAAGGTCTGACTTCATTAGCTTTCTATTTGAGTCTTAATACATTTAGGAGTGAATAGTACTTCTGAAGCAAATTATACTCCCACATTTCATCTCAGGAAAGGAGTTGTCATGATTCTGCTCCTTCGGGATAAAAACTGTAACTGTCAACTTTCTGAATATTCCTGCTGTTTAATCAAGGTGAGGGAAGACTTTTGAAAGCGGCCAAAAGGAGCACAGGACCTCGGTACTAAAATATAAAGGTTGCCCTCACTCCATATCTTTGGTACTAATATCAGCTACAACAATCTGAATACTCACACCACAGAAACATGGCACATTTTGTAATTACAAGTGTTTGTGATTTTCCTTTTGACCTTGTAAACAAAAGGGGAAACGCCTTGAGAAACCACTCTGCCATGTTCTCTCATTTCTCTTAAACTACACATGTGCACAACCAGTTCTCCCTTTGATAGTTCACGAGGAGAAAGAAGAGAGTTGACCACGGTTATCGCTTTCGTTCCCCTTTTTGTGTCCTTTTCCTTTCCTTTTCCTTGCGCTCCTGCTTGGCTAATTTGTCCTTCTCTCTCTGCAGCTTGTCCTGCTCCTTCTTCCTTTGGGACTCATCTCGAAGCGAGTCTCGCTCCAGTTTTCGGGCATTGAGGACATCCTCCAAGTTGGTATTTCGGAACAGAACTACAATGAGTTAAGGGATGAAGGTAGAGGTCACACAGGCCCAGCTACTGCTCTCTCTCTCTCTTCATTCTATTTGCTGAGTCTTGAATACTTTCTACTAGTTGTTGTTGTTTTTAATCCTTATGTTTATCTTTGGTCTAACGGGAAATCCTACAACTATCATTACAAAAGTTAAAAACTAACCCTCAGAATAAAAATCTATTTCAGACTTATCTAAATCTAAATATTTTTTTTAAATAAAATTTTATTCTAGAACACGTACCTATGTCATTCAATGGCAGAATATTGTTGTAGTATCTATGCTAGTTTCAGTGAACAGAGTATTCATATAAATGGCAAAATATGGACTTGACATTGTTAAAATGCTTGAAGAGTAAAATAAGTTGTTTAATCTTATTATATCGTTTTCCTAGGCCACTAAAGCATTAATGAAACCATGTTCTATTAACTACAAACTTTGAATTTATAAAATAGTAAGTTTAGCCACAGTTAGAAAATACCCAGCCAAAAACTTTACCCTTCATTTCTTATGACTTTACAAACATAACCTGTTACTATCAGACAAGCTCCTCTCTACTCTTAAAACATAACTTTTCTGCCCTAACCAGTGTGGACCCATATTTAGAGTGTTGGCCCATGCACTGAAGGGTCTTGGGTTCTATTCCCGGTCAAGGGCACGTACCTAGATTTCATGTACCTGGTGGGGGCACATGCAGGAGGCAACCAACTGATGTGTCTCTCTTATATCGATTTTCTCTCTCTCACAGTCTACTCCCCACTCCTTTCCACTCTCTAAAATCAATGAGAAAATATCCTCGGGTGAGGATTAGCAAGAAGAAAAAAAAAAATGTTCTGCTTCAGTGCTTTAAAGTAAATGTCTCTCTAAACTACCCAGGTTCCCCAGATAATCCACCATATTTCTCACCTTTATGAAGAGGGATTTCTAAATCCACGTTCTCTGGGAAGCTTCTCATAAGTGATTCTGGTCTTAGGGACTTTCCTAGGCACATATGTCTCAATCTGTCCATATGAGGTTGGGGAAAGTAGGTTAACAATTGTAATTCTAATGAATAATAATATAAACTCTGTCCCAGCCAATGTGGCTCCGTGGTTGAGCCTGGACCTATGCCCCAAGAGGTCACCGGTTCAATTACCACCTGCCCAGATTTCCGGCTCCGTGCCCAGCAAGCGTGTGCAGAAGGAGCTGATCAATGTTTCTCTCTCATCAAGTTTCTGTCTCACTCTCCCTTCCTCTCTCCCTAAAAATTAATAAAAATGTATTTTAAAATAAATAAACAAACTCTGGCAGTCGCTGGTGTGGCTCAGTTGGTTGAAGCGTCATCCTACAAACTAAAAGGTCTTGGATCAATTCCTGGTCATGGCAAATACATACACAGGTTGTAGGTTCAATCCCAGATTGGGGCACATACAGGAGGCAACTGGTCAATGTTTCTCTCTCACATTGATGTTTCTTTCTCTCCCTTCCTCTCTAAAATCAGTAAAAACATATCCCCGGGTAAGGATTTTAAAAAAAGAATGAACTCTGTGTTTTGAGTATCTACAACTGTAAACCTACTTTTGCCCACCCATGTTTTTAGCTTAAAAGCATTTGGTATTTATGCTCTATTTCCAACAAATAAGGTCTTTGAGGGTAAAAACCAAAACGTCAATGTTATGTTAACGACTCCCACAGTGCTGGGAAACTAGTGCTATATCAAGAGAGTACAGATTCTGATTTTCCCTTAGAAATCCTTCCTCAAAGCTCACCCCTCACAGTACATGTTAGTATGTCTTCTTTGGGGCAAGTTCTTGCTAAATTGACCACTTAGAGATGTACTAGAAATGGGGCTTACATGCTGGCCTGATATGAGTGCCCCCAGCAATGACAGCAAAATAAAAACTGATCCCCAGGAGCATTCTGTGGGATGGGCACAGAGAAGGATACGTTTATCAGAACCGATGTTCATTGTGGAGGCACCTGACTCATCCTTCTCACCTGCTTCGGTAAGTGATGTTAAGGAAAATAGGATGGAAAACAGGTTAGCACATCCCAACCCAACATGAGAAAACAGTCAATAAGCTGATGATAGGAAAGGTGCCGTGAATGGAAGGCCCCTGTCAGGGATGTGGTAGTAACCCAGGGGAGTCATCTTAGAAGTCTCAACCTAGGGAAGACTGACTGTTCAGAGCTTCCGTAAGATCCTTCCCTTGGAGGCTGAAGAGAAACTTAAGCTGGTGTGGGTAGAAGCCAGGGGATGAAGAGATGACCTCTACAACAGTGGTGCTCAAAACTCCCTGGAAGCTTGGTAGGAAGGCACATTCCTGGACCTGATTCTGGATCTACTCAATCAGAAACTCTGGTAGGTAGAGCCCTGTAATCTGCATTTTAAAAAGTCCCTCAAAAAACTATTACTTGCCGAAACCGTTTTGGCTCAATGGATAGAGCGTCGGCTTGGGGACTGAAGGGACCCGGGTTCAATTCCGGTCAAGGGCATGTACCTTGGTTGTGGGCATATCCCCAGTAGGGGATGTGCAAGAGGCAGCTAGTTGATGACTCTCTCTCATCGATGTTTCTAGCTCTCTCTCTCTCTCCCTTCCTCTCTGTACAAAATCAATAAAATATATTTTTTTAAAAAACAAAAAACTATTACTTAAAACACTCTTTTATAGCCCAAGAAATGAGCTTTCGTAACTAGAACCATAGCTCTGCCAAACCTAGCAAGAAAAATCAAGAGGCAAAACTAGAAGAGAAGTTGGCCCCAAAGAGCCTAAGAATTCTTTCCTAAACTCATGATCAGGCGGCTGACATTTCTGGTGTGATGTCCACTCTATTCAAGAGAGCACAGTGAACTTAAGCTTTTCCTAAACAAATGTCAAAGTCACAGGGACCCAAACCTGCTCCTACTAGCAACACTTTCTTTTCACGCAGTAGCAATTCAAATCCCAGGCTTCTCCTGGTGTTACTCGGGGGTCCAGTCTCTCTTTTAACTATGTGGTCACTGGAATTTTTTGTTTAAGATTCAAATGAAACTCCTCCAAATGTGGGAATCCGTTACCCCAAAATATCCAGGTTCTAGTCCTGGTTTTACCACTAACTACATGAATGTCTCTGATTAGCCATCCATCTGCTGGGCATCAGTTTCCTTAACAACTGTGTAAGAAATCCTATATAATAAAGATGGAATATGCAAATTGACCATAACTCCTCGACAAAGATGGTGGCGCCCACAGCCAATAAGGAGGGAATATGCAAATTGACACAAGGCAAGAGGTGGAAGGCGGAAAGGCAGCTCTGGCCAGAGGGAAGGCGGTGTTAGCAGCCAGGAGAAGGCTTATTCTTGCATGAATCTTCATGTATTGGGCCCCTAGTAAAGACTATACAATGATATGCAACTTTCTGTGCAGTAAGTTACATGTTACTACCCAGAGAAGTAAAGAACCACAGCTATATCTTATTTTCTAATAACACAATATAAATGGTCCATTACTAAGGCATTATTTGTTTTACACTGAAGTTTTCAGAAACATACTTAACTATGTGATAAAATATGTAAGTCTGGTGTTAGCTATTCCAATTTCATTCCTCACACCCACACAAGGCCACAGCTCACTGCCATTTTAGAGAAAATTAAGCTACAGAGGGGGATTGGCAGCCTCCCAAAGCACACAATAAACCAGCAAGTGCTTCTGTCTTGAGCCACAGGAAATGGTGCTGAGACTCCAAAAAGGATATTCTTCTTCATCCGTTACATCAGCATACTGGGCCAGGAGGGCAGCTTTTCTCTGCTTCTCCTCTTCTGACACCATCCTGGGCTTCACCACAATCTGTGCCTGTTTCTCAATTAGAGTAGCAATGGCCTGTATCTCGTCTGGGAGGTGGTGGAAGGGGGGAGAGGGACAACAAGGTTGTATGTGAAGAAAAAACAAGCTCACTGAACCACTAATCCACCCAGGTAGTGCTTCCAGCAAAGACAATGGCATCTGCTGACTCCTTAGAGCCCTGGGGTTCAAAAAGGAGGTGCTGCTGAGAAAAGCAAGGCAAGGCCATGCAGGCCAGCTTTAGGTCTTGTATCTGTCTTCTATCAGAGTAGCCCTGCTTTTGCTTGTTTTCTATATTGAAGTTTAGCTGCTTTTTTTTTTTTTTTTTTTTTTTTTTTTTTTTAAAAAAAGGAGGTTGTAAAGCACTACATTAAAACCATAGGAAATTAAGCCTCTAACCATGCATCTTTCTCCCTTCTCAACCCAGAAACCTCAGACTTAAAATCAACTTAAGCTGGTCCCTTCCATGGTAATAATTATGCCAGGTGAGGTTCTTGGATTATTTTAAAAGAAAATCAACTGTTACGTTCTCCATTCTCAAAGAAGGAGGAATGGTGTCAAGTAGTGGTTCTCATGCTTAGCTGCATAATAGGATCATTTGGGTGGAACTGGAGAGCATTATGCTAAGCCAGTGGTCTGCAAACTCATTAGTCAACAGAGCCAAATATCAACAGTACAACGATTGAAATTTCTTTTGAGAGCCGAATTTTTTAAACTTAAACCTCTTCTAACGCCACTTCTTCAAAATAGACCCGCCCAGGTCGTGGTATTTTGTGGAAGAGCCACACTCAAGGAGCCGAAGAGCTGCATGTGGCTCGAGAGCTGCAGTTTCCCCAACCACTGTGCTAAGTGAAACAAGCCAGTGGGAGAAAAATAAATATCACATGATCTCACTCATATGTGGGATATAATGATCAACATAATTTGATGAACAAGAATAGATCCAGAGACAAATGGTAGGGGTGGGGACAGTTAGAGAGCAACCAAAAGACTTGTATGCATGCATATTAGCATAACCAATGGACACAGACACTGAGGGGGAGGGGGCTTGCCCAGGTCGGAATGGCTGGGTTAGGGATGTCAATTGGGGTAAAAGAAGACACATGTAAAACTTTAGACAATAAAAAAAAAAAAAAAAAGAATCATCTGGGGAAACTTTAAAAAAAAAATACCAACACCTGGGACTCAACGCCAAATGTTTATATAATTGGTTCATGATGTGGAGCAGCAGGCACTAGCATTTTTAAAAGTAAACCAAGTGATGCTAAAATACAGCCAACACTGAGAACTACTACTGTAGAGAGTTTAGAATAGATTCTCTTTACTAGTAAGTTTGGCTTTAATTATATGCGTTTTCTGCATCCTAATGATGAGTAAATTCACTCATTTCTTTTTTCATTTTAAAGGGTTAAGGGTTTAGCTGAATAAAGCAAAAAACCAATCACAATTTGTGTTATAAAATGAGAATATAAAAAAAGGCAATCCTATGCCTGCAATGCAAATCTGTAAGGGGCAGTGGAAAGAGAATTAAAAAGAAAAAAAGAAAAAAAAAAAAAAAACACAATGAAGATAATTATGGTCAGCTGAAGTGAAAATGTAGGAAAGGAAAAAGGGAACCAATATTCAGTTAAAAAGTTAAAGCTGTTTGCCAGGTTAAACTCCCTCAGGGAAAATGAGTCTTCAATGAGGAAAAGTGAAACTCTCTCCCTGACAGCTGTAAGGTTACTGGAAAACATGATAGAGGCAACATCAGAGCTACCTTCTTCTTTCACTTTGGTGACAACATTCTGAGTTTCTGACCATCGCTCCACAATCTCCTTGCATATGTTAAGAAGGGAATCTTCTTCCTGAGTGGAAAAGTAGACCAATTAATTTCCTAAAGAACCCTCAACCTGAACAAAGCCTACGCAGAGGGGACCACTGGTGATGAGAAGAAACCACGAAGAAGGTTTGGGAACCACAGAATAGAGAGTATGTTTCTCTTTCGAAGCTCTGGACACAGAATCTGTGAGTCCCAGAATCCACACCTGCCAGGTCAAGGGAGCCCACTTCATCCTGCCACGATCCAAAGGAAAGGATTCTCACCAGCTCGGTTCAGTCTTCCTCAGGATTTTAGAGCAAAAAACATGTTGCCTACGTCAAAATCTCTTTCCTCTGTGAAATCTTCTTTGGCCAATATATCCAACTCAGTACCTTTTCCCAGGTTTATCACTTTCATGCCAAGAGACTGTTAATAGTCTAAGGCAAATTCATGCCCTTCTTTACCAGCAGACATACAGGTCCAAATAATGACACCACACACACACACACACACACACACACACACACACACACACAGGTCAAGAAGTTGGTACCAAGGGGTAGCCAGTTACTTTAACTTCTTTTTCATAGATTCTTTAGAAACTTCCCAACTGGAAATAAAAACTAACTTAAATTGCTTACCTCCTACTCCTTCCCTCTACAACCTATAATGTCAGGGTCCAAGAAAAGAATTTATTCTACTGTGTTGTATTTCCACTGAACTTATGAGCTGCACCACAAGCTGTGTTAAGGCTTTCCCAAAAATAAGTCAGTCTCATCAGAGCTTGCTCTGGGGCCCTTGCCAGCAGGTCCCAGGACAGCTGCATTAGTGTTATATTTCAACCATGTACCTACTCCATAAACTACCCTTTCACCAAGTGAGTGTTAGTAGAGTTGAAGGCAGCAGAAATGATAAGAAAAAGCAATTTGGTGGCTAACTACTTAAACAGAGATTAAAGCACACATTTCTGAATTCTTGAATCTGCCTCTAAGAGGCTACATGCCAAATTTGTCTTTCTTTTTAAAAACTCTGATCTTTTATTCCAACTCCAACTCACTCCTCCACCCCACCCCCAAACACAACAATGAATACTGCACTTGTAAATACTATAAAGGATAAAGCACAATATTTGCTTCAGTTTTGCCTCGGCGTGAAAAGACCTCTACCGTGAGCTTACCTTTTCTGGACTCCTACCTCCAAAATAGGAGCCCAGACTGGCTTTTGTCATGGGACAGTCCTGGGCACTCTCTTCCCTCCCCAACCCCCACCCCCCCTACCCTATTCTCACCCCCATCCCCTACTCCACACCGTCAACGGATGGGAATGAAGCTGGTCGTTAGGTGTTTATGATAAAATTCCGATTTAGACATTTCAACGCCTTCCGAATACTCACCCACAGGCATCCGAGAGAGCCTGGTCCCCAGGAGTAAGGAGAGCCATTCCTCTAAGGACCTATAACCTTCCTGGTTCCCCAAACCCTGGATAGGGACTAGCCGCCTTCCCCATGGCCCAGAACTCAAGAAGAGCATTCCTCTCCCAGTCACACCCACCCATCCTCTGGGATTCCGGTAGGGGGACGGGGATACAAAGCACTGACAGGGGCTGGCCAGAAATGAGTTGGGGCTTCTCACCAGGAAGGCAGAGAGAATACCCTGCAGAGCGTCCAGCTTCTCTTCCTCCTCCTCCTCCTGCAGCACACCCAGGATGTAGGCACCGTAAACAGCTCGGTCCACTCCCAGCGACTCCAATCGTCCATCTAGCCAGGACCCGAAGCAGCAGCCCACAGCGTTGCCTTCGCCGGAGGCAGGCGCGTCCACTTCACTGGGCGCCGCCATCTTGGGGTCAGGGTCCTGCCAACCCCTGGGGCGCCTAACGCAGTGCCTGACGGGCCGCGCCGCGGGCGCACTGCGCATGCTCACCAAGGAAACTCGCGCTCTTGCGTTTGGAGCGTAGAACCCCGTAGCTCCATAGTGACTCGCCTGGGCGTCTTATAACTTCTAAATGGAATGCACCTTGGCCGGCAGTGTCAGGTGGTCTCTGCAGAACCCTGGCAGGTGGGTATTCTTAACAGACTTCTTCACTGTTGGGGAAGTTCGGAGAGATTCAGGAACTTGGCCAAAGTAAACAGGACGGAGCTCAACTTCGATTCCACCTCCCACTCCCACGCAGCTTTCAAGCAGGAACCTGCTGACTGTGTCCAGAATTCCCACCTTTCCCAAGCTGCTCCCCTAACAATACTCAGATTTCAGGAAACCTTCCCTGATTCCGTGCCACCTGCTTTAAGACCATGCCAGTGTATTGCTATTGCTTCTCTGCACTTCACACGATGTATTTACCGCAGAAACCGACTTACAGCGGGTGCTCAATAAATGAGCAGGTAACCTCAAGTCATTTCTCTCAGTCATTCTACACTTGATCCTTTGCCAGACACTGTGCTAAGAGCTTTGGATGCATTATCTTCTGTAGTCCTTCCAACAACCCTGAGGAGATGTCCACTAATTGAAGATAAGGAAATTGAGACAGAGTCACAACCACAGGGAACCTCATCAGAGACAAGAGCTTGAAACTCAGCTGACTTTGCAAAACACCTGGCTCTGGGCCGAAGTGAATTACCCAAGCACCTGGGTTGGCTTTCCCTGAATTACTGGCAGGCCACTGACCTGACTCCTCCATTCACTCAATATTTATTGATTACCCACAGCATGTCATTGCTCTTGGACACTGAAAATATTAAAATGAATGCCACAAAGTCTCTTAAATGTGTTAATGGAGCTTGCTTTTTCTTTCTTTTTTTTTTTAATGGAGGTTGTAGTATGATTCCTAGGAGAAGATTTGGTTAAATTTGCCTGTTGGAATAGGGTTGAAAGCTGTGAAAATGGGGGATCCAGGCTTGCTAGTGGAGATGGGACTTACACTCCTTGAAGAATAAGAGTTCTTTAGACAAAAAGACTGGAAGAGAAAAGAAACATCCATATACAGGGAGCTGTGTACAAAGATTTTTTTAGGTGGCCTCCCTAGAGTCATGCATGGCTTGGGCTACAGAGTTCAGATAGAAGCTGTTCAAGGGATGGCAAGGAAATGAAAGGGAGGGGCTTGTCTATCTTGCAAAGGGCCTCTCGAGAGAGTTCTATACTGGTGTTATCATTGGCCTAATGTAAATAGACATGGAACCCTACAACTCAGTAGAAATATAGGAGGGGGCATTTAAGATCTTGCTTCCTGGCATTGCTGTTAGTTTTGGTTCAAATAAAATCTTAGGAAAATTCTCTAATCAAAGAAAGAAAAGACAAGAAATGCAGGATAGAGTGAATATTAGCCCCATGACTTCTGTGAGCTTAGAGTCAGAATGTGACAGTAATAGAGTTAGAAGACAGAGGCAGTCCCCAAAGACTTGCTCCTATTTCAAGTCTTCAAACTACTAATCCAGTGGCTGTGTCACAGGTGGGGCTGAATCCCCAGTAAGGGTGGTGCAGGAGGCAGCCAATCAATGATTCTCTGTCATCATTGATGGTTCTATCTCTCTCTCCCTCTCCCCTCCTCTCAGAAATTAATTATATATATATATATATATATATATATATATATATATTCTTTAATATTAAAAGAACATTCTGATTGTGCATGAAGAATGGATTATTTTGGGGAGAGATACGAAGCTACTCTCCCCAAAGAATAGAAGTAATGTTAGAAATTGACTTAGTACTTTGGACAAGAAATTATAGTGGCCTGGACTAGGGTAGTAGCAGTGGTCAAAAGATGTCCTTTAGAGTTGGTAGAACTTGTTTTTAGAGTGGGGGTGGGAATAAGGGGGGAAAATACTGAAAGATAACTTCTAGGTTTGGGGCTTGAGCAACTGAGTGTGTAACATATTTCCAGAGATGGGGAAGACTGGGAAGGGGCAGTGGAAAAAATGTTCTGTTTTGAACATATTAAGAATGTCCAATAGGCACTTGAATATATACGTCTAGAGATCAGGGGAGAGGTCAGACTTGGGATAGAAATTCTGCAGGCATTAGCATAGGGCTGAATTGTAAGCCATGGCGTTGCATGAAGTCACCTAGACAGTGTTAATAGGGAAGAGAAGAGGGCCCAGGGCTAAGGGCTAACGCCGTGGCTACTCCAACGTTTCTAGGTGAAACAGAACCTTTGGATCCAGCAATGAAAATTGAGGAGGAGCCACTGAAGTAAGGTGAAAAAGGTAGAAATGGAAGCAAAAAGAAGAAAGTGTTCAAGAAGGAAAAGGAGTCTGTTTTAGTGTTCTAAACGTTGGGTAAGATGAGAATACCAAAATAACCATAGAATTTGGGGCCATGGAAGTCACAGTTGACCTGCATAAGTATAGTTTTATAGGAGAGGTGAGGACCAAAGTCTGATTCGATGAGTTGGGGAAAAGATGGGAAGTGAGAAATGGAGATGCCTCTTGTGAGAAATGTTTGGTTGGACGGGTAGGTAGAGAAAAGGGAGGGAGACAAAGACATGAAGATGAAATGGGTATAAGAAATCTTCATTTAAACTGTACATGTTCTGTACGTGTTAGGCTTCTTTTATTATTTATCATCGAACTCTTGGGGCTTTCAAAGTACTTTGGGTGAAGGATCCAGCGAGGGCCCTCGCTGGTTTGGCTCAGTAGACAGAGCGTTCGCCTGCCGACTGAAGGGTCCCAGGTTCTATCCTGGCCAAGGGCTCATGCTTGGGTTATGGGCTCGATCCCCAATACTGTGCATGCAGAAGGCAGCCAATCAATGGTTCTCTCTCATCATTGATGTTTCTATCTCTCTCTCCCCTTTCCCTTCCTCTCTAAAATAAATAAAATTTATTAAAAATAAAAAATAAAAAAATCTGCTGAAACTGGTTTGGCTCAGTGGTAGAGCGTCGGCTTGTGGACTGAAGGGTCCCAGGTTCGATGCTGGTCAGGGGCATGTACATTGGTTGCGGGTACATCTCTGGTAGGGGGTGTGCAGTAGGCAGCTTGTCGATGTTTCTCATCGACGTTTCTGGCTCTCTATCCCTACCCCTTCCTCTCTGTAAAAACATCAATAAAATATATTAAAAATAATAATAAATAAAATAAATAAATAAATAAAATAATAAAATAAAATAATAAAATAAAATAATAAAATAAAATAAAATAAAATAAAATAAAATAAATAAAATAAAATAAATAAAATAAAATAAAATAAAATAAAATAAAATAAATAAAATAAAATAAAATAAAATAAAATAAAATAAAATAAAACAAATAAAATAAAATAATCCAGCGAGGGTCCAGCTTGCTGGCTATTAAAGCTCAGAGTACCTCCAGCCCAGGATCAGACCAGAGAGAAAGCGGAAGAAAAAGCGAAGGGAGCTGGAAGAAGTTACCGCGTTAAGATTGTCCTCCCAGGGCCACCGTAGGGCAGTCTCTGCGCTATTCTGTTGTTCAAGGGGCGGAGCCGAGAGGAAATTTAAAACGAAGCGGCGACGGCGGCGGCGGCCCCGGAGGATGGTACCTGCTGCGGCCGCGGGTCCGCACCGGGGGCTCTGGGCCCGGACGAGCTCCCGGGCTCCGCGATGGTGACGGAGCAGCCTTGAAGAAGGAGCACGGAGGCCGGGCACAGCCGACGATTTGCGGGCCCCGGGAAAGGGTACGGGTGCCGGGGAAGGGAGAAGGGGCAAGAAGGAAAGCAAAAAGGGGTCCAAGGAGGTGTAGAGAGGCCCCGCCAGCGTGGTGCCGTGGTAGAGCGTCCCCCTGTGAACCGGGAGGTCACCGTTCGGTTCCCGGTCAGGCCACATGCCCGGGTTGCGGGCTGGACCCCAGTAGGGGGCGTGCAAGAGGCAGCCGATGGATGATTCTCATCATGGATGTTTCTCTCCCTCTCCTTTCCTCTCTGAAATCAATTTAAAGTTGTATTAAAAAAAAAAAAAAAGTTGTAGAGAGGATAACGGGTCGGAAAGTGGAGCGGACAAATGCAGAAGCTGGGAAGGCAGTGGGGCCCGGAGGGGTCACAGGAGCTGAGTGGACACAGGGACGGAGGAACTGAGGTTGCCAGGGCCTGGAAGGTGTCTGCGAGTTGGGATGGGGTGTGGGTAGGGATGCAGTTGAGTCTTGCTATTCCTGGTACCCGCTTTGGGGATTGTGGGGGCTTGGGAGGTGAGGTGGGGATGTGGGGGAGGGGGTAGTGGAAGGTCGTAGGCCAGTGAAGGTGATTCAGCTGGGTTTTTGTTAGTTTGTTTTTAAACATTTTTATTGATTTTTCTTTTTTCTTTTTTTTTAGAGCGAAAGGAAGGGAGAGGGTGAAAGAAAGGAAACATCGATGTGAACGGAAGGAACATCCATGGGCTGCCCCCTGCAGGCCTCCTACCTGGGATCCAGCGGGCAACCTGGGCGTGTGCCCTGACTGGGAATCACCAGCGACCTCTCCGTGCACCAAAGGACACCGACCTACTGAGCCACACAGGCCAGGACTGCTTCAGCTGTCTTGTCCTTCAGGGACCATTGCCTTGAGCTGGAGAGTTCAATGGCTGAGAGTAGGCTCTGGACTCCGGACCTAGGTGCGTAACAGGTCAAAACGAGGAATGCAAGGCCAAAAATATGCTACTCCTGCCCCAGAGTCTCTTGGGAGGAAAAAGGCGAGAGATGTTAGCCCTGTTGGGTTTTTTTTGTTTTTTGGGTTGTTTTTTTTTAACGATTTGTGGGTTTGTGTGTGTGTGTTGTATGTGTTAATGGACGTCATGGATCATTTAGGAATTCCAGGGAGAGGTCAAACAATAGTTTTCAGTCTGATATTATGAACAAGATTGGCAGACAGATGGGGAGTTGTGATTGAACAACCACGAATATTTAAGCCCATATTCACAGTTGTTTTTACCATAAAATATTAAGTATACCTTAAACACCCTGCACTCAGTTACCTAACTCTTTTAGCATCTACCTAGTCACTTCCCTGAGTGCTCTCCTCCCTCTCTTAGTACCATCTATCAATAGTTTTGGTGCTGGAGTGTTACAGATACGCTGTTCGGTTTTTGCCTTTCACACAGGGATGCACCACACAGAGGCTGTCGGTGAGAGCTGCCTGACTTACAGGACTCTCAGCTCAAGCTTCTCACTGTGTTCGTCTTTATTGTTTCCTAGGGGCTCAGCTGGGGGTGTCCAGTTGTCTGAAAAAATGCCGGAAGAGCTCGCCAGATGCTAGGAGGCAGCAGCCCTTTTCTGGAAAGTCCTTTTACCTGGATCTGCCTGTTGGCAAGACTCTCCAGTTTCTGACGGAGGCAATCCAGCAGCTGGGCGGGGTATGTCTGTGCTTCTCTCGGGGGTCCCCGGGTGGGAGGGCAGGAGCCGGAGAAGGACTATACCTGTCTTCCAGGTATTGCTACATTTTCCCAAAGCACTTTTCACTATAAGCCACTTTTTAAAATAAAGTTACTATTGTTCTCCTAATTAGGGGGGAAGGAGGAATTATCTGCTCATTCTAGAAATGTTAGAAAACATGGAACTGCTGCAAGTGACAACCATTGTTTTGATGTATTTATTTTTTCCTGTAATCTCTCTTTCATTTTCTTTCACAACTTTCTTGAGATACAGTTCACCCATTTAAAGTGAATAATTCAGTGGTTTGTATGTGTTTGGATAGTCACAGAGATGGCCAAGTGTGATTAGACAGTCAACTTTAGAATATTTTCATCACCCTAAAAAAGAAACTCAGACCCATGTCAGTCATTCCCAATTTCCTCTCAATACCCCCAACCCTGAGTAATCTTTTATCTACTTCTGAAGTCTGTCTTTTTTAATGCTTATTTTCTGGGTAGCTATGATCACAAATACATTTTTATTACCAACTTTTTGTTGGTACTTCCCTTAAAACATGAGAGCTTTCCTATCATTATTGTCCCTCCTATGCATTATATGTAATGAGAATGTAATATTCTTTTGAGTAGATTTTTAATTTACTTAACTTGCCCATGGCCATTCAGATTATTTCTAAATCTGAGGTCTTACAAATAACACTGTGGTGAACTACTTTGGGTAAAGAGCACTTGCTGTGTTTGAGTCCTTTTAAAGCAGATGTATGTCATATGGTACTTTAGTCAGGGTGGGCATGGCCAGCTCTTGTGTTTAGAAAATAGGATGACAGTGCTTGGCCCAAGAGGGGTGGGTCACTGGGGAAAGTGCTTGAAGAGACTTAGGATGCAGAGACTCCTTGCTGTCAGTCTAACAGAAACTTAGGGACATAGAGACTCAGCAGGGGGGAAGGACTGAATGACCATCATATACCCAAACTGGCCCCAAAATACATTTTGAACTTTTAATCTTTCCTATCATTTAGCCTTTGCTATATAAAAAACAAACAATCGAGCAAAAACACCCCAGGATTTGGCCTTAAAACAAGTAATTTCTCACTATTCTCTGGGTTGGCTTGGTGGTTTCTCTTGCAGCTACATTTGGCTGAAGGGTTAGCTGGGCTGGAAGGACCAAGTTGACCTCACTCACGCATCTGGCAGTTGGTGCTGGCTGCCTCTGCGGCTTCTCATACACATGAGAAGCTTCATACATGCATTGTATGCATATATACTACCATGTGCATATGCAGTAAGCTAGACCAGCCAGTGGTCTCAGAGTTTTCCCAGAAGGTGAAGGGAGAAGCTACAAGGCCTCTTGTGGCCTAGGCTCTAAGAACTCACACATATTATTTACACCATTATATTGGACAGCAGAGGTCCTATCCAAGGGGATGAAGAATAGGCCTCTACCTCCTGATAGAAAGAACAGCAACGTCACATTGCAAATGAGTGGATACACTGGAATGGGAGGAATGCACAGCCATTAAACTATTTACCAGCCCTGGCCGGTTTGGCTCAGTGGATACAGGGTTGACCTGTGGACTGAAGGGTCCCGGGTTCAATTCTGGTCAAGGACACCTACCTTGGTTGAAGGTTCCCTGGCCCTGGTTGGGGTTTGACATGGATGTTTCTCTCTCTCCCTCTTCCTTCCACTCTCTAAAAATCAATGGAAAAATATCTTTGGGTGAGGATTAACAAAAAATAAATATAGCTGTCTGGTGTAAGCAGTGCTACCCCAGCTTTTACATTTCAGGATGGTGTCTACTTGGGGGCCCAGCGCAGAGCTGCGTTTGGTCTATTTAAAGACATTGATTCTGGAACGTCTAGCAGCCAAGATTTCCTCTCCAGCCTCTCGGTATCGATGATTCCACATCTGCCTTTGGGTTTCAGCCACCTCTGTGATCTGGTTCCAGGTCATTGAGGGTTTTCTGAGCAAAGAAGTAAGCTACATCGTGTCCAGCCGCAGGGAGGCGAAGGCAGAGAGCAGTAGGACGGGCCCCAGGAGCTGCTCCAGCTCCAGCCCCGGCGAGGTCAGAGTGGAAACACCGTCCATGGCCGATGCAAAGGGCAGCCGCCCCAGGCCTCCACAGAAACCCGTAGACTTGGTAAGAACCTCGTGGAGCCCTAGCCAGTGTTTCTCAATGGGTAGAGCATCGCCCTGCAGACTGAAGTGTCGCAGGTTCGATTCCGGTCAAGGGCACGTACCTCAGTTGCAGGCTCAATCCCCGGCACCGGTCAGGGCACCAGTGGAAAGCAACCAATAGCTGTGCCTCTTCCATTTTTATATAGGATAGCCATTTCCCCACTCCATGGCTCTAGCATTTGTTTCTGCCAAATTACAGAAGGTAGACAGAGGTACTCCTTCAAGCCATAACTTTTAAGATGTTTTAAAATTGTGGTGAAATGTACATAAAAACATGCCATTTTAACCTTTTTTAAAGTGTACATTTCTTTTCTTTTCTTTTTTTAATATATTTTATTGATTTTTCACAGAGAGGAGGAGAGAGGGATAGAGAGTTAGAAACATCGATGAGAGAGAATCATCGATTAGCTGCCTCTTGCACACCCCCTACTGGGGATGTGCCTGCAGCCACGGTACATGCCCTTGACCGGAATCGAACCTGGGACCTTTCAGTCCGCAGGCCGACGCTCTACCACTGAGCCAAACCGGTCCCGGCTAAGTGTACATTTCATCGGCATTAATTATATTCACACTGTGGTGTAACCATCACCACTTTTTTGTTTCCAAAACATCACCCCAAACAGAAACACTATAACCATTAAGCAATAGCTTCCCATTTCCCTTCCCTACAATTCCTTTCTGTCTCTATGATCTTGCCTATTTTAGATACCTCATATCCGTGGATTCACTGATATTTCTCCTTTTGTTTGTAGCTTATTTGACTTAACATGTTTTCAAGGTTCATCCATGTTGTAGCATGGTTAAAATGGCAGCTCCTGTGTTGAGCGTCTGCCTCCTGGTGGTCAGTTCATGGCAGAGCGACCAGTCAGGTGGTCGGACATTTAGCATATTAGCCTTTTGTATAGATAGAAAGATAGATAGATAGATAATCCTTTTTTAAGGGATTGCAGAGTCAGGGGTTCAGAAACAATAGGAGAGTCCTCTGAACCAGAGAGGGCTTGTTCAAATTGGCCTACATCTAAATGTGGAGAGTGCAGAGACCCTTAAAGGGAAGTCTTAGAACATTTGTCACACTTAGATCTCTGGTGAATTCAAAAAGTCCTTCTCCACGAGGATCCAGGCCTCAGCTACCCATGGATGATCTGAGCATGGGTGTGGCTCTATCTTTACCTCCAAAAGGCTCTAGGCTCTTTCGGCCACTGAGCTGTGGTTGCTCCCAGTTTTCCAAGACATGACTCCTGGCCAGCACCCATGTAAATGTCTGTCTTTGCACAGATGGGGTATATAACATCTCTCATTGCTCTCCTGTCAGGTTCCTCTGAGCAGAGGGAAGGAGCTACTGCAGAAGGCCATCAGAAATCAGGTGAGCTGAGCGTCCCAAGGTTCTTCTGAAGTACAAATGACCTTCACACAACACAGATCCACTTATATGTAGGCTTTTTTCCCCCAGTAAATACTTGTATTGTTTTTGATCCATGGTTGGGAGTGCGCAGGTGTGAATGGCCAACGGTATTCATTGACCTATGCCATTTTATATAGGGAACTTGAGTATCCGTGGATTTTGGTATCTGTGGGAAGTCATGGAACCAATCTCCAGTGAATCCCAGGCACAAGTCTTGTGTGGATTTTCAGCTCCACAAGGCTCAGAACCCCTTATTGCTTCATTGATCAAGGGTCAACTCTAACACCCAACCTATGAGGTGTATTGTTGTTTCCTTCTTAAAAATGAAGAAGTGGAGCACAGAGAAGTTAAGTAATTTGTCTAGAGTCACCTAGGGTATCACTGGTAGAGCCAGGATTTGACTTCTTGATTTTTCCGACTCAGAGTCTACCAAGAAAATTTTGGAGGATGCTGTGGGATATGAAGCTAGATTTGTAAACCTATTTTCTTAAAGATTTTTTAAATTTTTTTATTGACTTTAGAGAGAAAGGAAAGGTGGGAAGGGGAGAGAGAAACAAACATCGATTTGTTATTCCACTTATTTATGCATTCGTTGGTTGATTCTTGTATGTGCCCTGACCAGGGATCGAACCCACAACCTTGGAATATCGAGACAATGGTCTAACGAACTGAGCTACCCAGCCAGGGCCAGGCTGTAAACCTTTTATGTACAAAGTAGCTGTTGATTCCTTTTGTGACAACCCAGAACCATTCAAGTTAAGTGGCAGGAAAGGAATTAATTAACGTGATCTTGTGAGAGGAGTCATTAAAGTGACATGAGGATGGATGCATTGGCTGTGTGAGGGAGGGTGATGTCAGATTTGGGCAGCAGGGCAGGAAAAGTGTGGCCAGCATAGCTTCCTGCTATGATGGTGATTGTCACCGGTATTTATTACTCACTGTGAGCTTTCTGCACAGAGACTCTCTTATAAGCGTGTGTTCCTTCCTGGTCACAAGGTGGCCAGAGCAGAGTGTGCAGGTAGACCAGCAATCCATCCCGTCCAGATGTGGCCAGCCCACGTGGAGGGTTGGTGTCCAGAGCTGCCAGAAGCCAGGACGGCCTGCCCCGGAGTTTGGGGCCCTGTGGCGGCCCTGCCCTGCCTGACTCTGCTGTCTTTCCAGGGGAGCAGCAGCGGAGGCGGCAGTGGGAGTCCCAGCAGCCTCCTGACCAACGCCCGCTCCTGGGGCGTGAAGATTCTGCATGTGGACGGTACCGCTTCTGCCCGGGGCTCCTACGGAGGGCAGAGTTGGTGACGGACCGGGAATATCTGCTTTTAGAGGGAGCGGAGGTGTAGGCTGGCTGGCAGCCAGCATGCTCCGTCACCATATTGACCCACAGAGGTGGGAGGGTGCGGACCGGCTGTAACAATGGCAGAGCGTGTATACGAGAAGATGCTATCCTGTTTAACCCCCTCAGCAGCACGCCTCAAGCTCACGCAGTAACCATGTTTTACAAAAAAGGAAATAACCCTAATATCCACGGCCGCTTACCGGCTATTTACTCCGTGCTAGGAACCGCCTCATTTAATCCTCACCACAGTCCTCTGCCGAGGGCACTGGTGTGAAGATTGAGCCTCAGGGGGATTAAGTAGTGTGATCCACATTCCAGCCTGGTTTGGCCCAACTACACCTCATGTTCTTTCTTTTTTATGGGGTTGCCTCACACCTGTTCGCAGGTTGTAATAAGTTTGCACCAGAACAGCTGTCCTGAGTGGGCTGGCAGTGCCTGGCCCTCATACCCAGCTCCACTGCGTATTGGCTTTCCTCTGATCCTTGAAGGGGACTGGTCCAGATCCAGCCTGAGATCTGCCAGAGAGATAGAAAGTCAATCAACCGCCTTGGCCTGTTTGCTCAGTGGTTAGAGCGTCAGCCCACAGACCAAAGGGTCGAGGGTTTGATTCTGGGTCAGGGGCATATACCATGGCTGCAGGCTGGATCCCTGGCCCCCGTTGGGGCATATGCAGGAGGCAACCAATTGATGTGTGTCTCTCACATCGATGTTTCTCTGTCTTACCCTCTCCTCCCCCCTCTCCACCCTTTAAAAAGCAAATCCTCCTCGGGTAAGGGTTTTAAGAAAAGGAGCTGTAGTCAGTGCTACGAAGAGCGTGGAGCCAGGATAGGTTCTTTCCTAGGGACAGAGCGCCCAGTCCTATCTTTTACCGGCAGGTGCAGAGGTGACATGTAGCCAGAAGGGGGCAGGCAAGGCTGGTGTGACCCACTGTGCCGGGCCTGGGGAGACGAGTCCCCCGGACGGGGCTCTGCTGGGGAAATGAGAGGGGAACCCTTAGCCACGGCCCTCTGTCCTCCACAGACATGGTGATGCAGGTGCAGCAGCTCTCTCTGGACGCCGTGTGTGTGAAGAAACAAGGGCCTTGGAAGCCAGAGGTAGGTCATCCTGCTGAACCGAAGGGAAGTGGACTGTTTGCAAGCTGTTGACAGCTTTAGTAAATCTATGGCCCACCCGAGCCCTCTGTCCCTGGCCGTTCAGGAAAAGTAAGAGGTGTGCGGCCTCTCGGTTAGCGCGTCCTGGGTGCTTAGCCTGTCCTCTTCTCCCCGTGTTACCTCACATCCCTGTGACGCACTGGACGTTCACTGCCGCCTGGCCTCCAGAAAACAAATGCCACGGCCTGCTGGCCAGCCGCCTTTCTGGGGACATCTCTCAGCTGGGAATGAGCCTGCAGATAGCACGGGAGGGGCAGGCTGGCAGGGGTGGTTTGAAATAGCTGCCACAGTCCAAATCCCAGTTTGGCTTTTCCTTCCTTTGCTGGAGTTAAACTGTGTGTGTCATATCCAGAGAGCCGGGGCTAACTTACAGCCACAGAGCTCTCACCGGCCAGAATCCGAGGAAGGACTAAGCCCTGCAGGTCCGTTCAGCGCCTGGCACCTCGGAGCAGGACCACGAGCAGTAGGAAGCCACATGCACACCCAGTGGGGCACTCGGCCTCAGCACCCCTTGCCCTGCACCCTCTGGTCTAGGCATCTCTGGGAAGCAAAACAGATGGTCAGTAGCTTTGCATTGTCGTAATTGTGAGTCTCTCCAACTTCTGTTCCCGGCCAGCCCCTCCTGAGATAAGCAGTGTGAACAGTTCGCCAGGTGTCCTTCCAGGACGCTGTGCATGTGCAGCAGAAATTCTCCCCTTTGCCCTTTCTGGTTTGGGCAAAATAGAGCATCGGCCTGCGGACTGAAGGGTCCCAGGTTGGATTCCAGTCAAGGACATGTACCTTGGTTGCGAAGGTACCTAGGGGGTGTGCAGGAGGAAGCTGATCGATGTTTCTCTCTCATCGGTGTTTTTAACTCACTTACCTCTCTCCCTTCCTCTTCTGTAAAAAATCAGTAAAATATATTTTTAAATTCTTCCTTTTTTATACAAACGCAGTGTTTTTACTTGGCTCTGTTCACTTAATAATCCATTGTGCAGGTGCTTGGGAGTCCTTGGGAGTGAGATCTGGGCAGTCTGCTGATATGGGAGGGGATGTGAAGGCTACTCTGGGTGTCTTTGCCCGGATGTGTGGCCTGGAGAAGTTTGCAGTCATCCGTTCACTGGCTCTCTCATCTTGCCCCATCCCCAACCCTAAATGATTTCTTAATTTTTTCCATTTAGTTTTTTTTAAAATATCATTACTGATTTCAGAGAGCAAGGAAGAGGGAGAGAAGAGAAACATCAATGGTGAGAAAGAATCATTGACCCGCTGCCTCCTGCAAGCTTCCCCCCGGGGATTGAGCCCATAACCTGGGCATGTGCCCTGACCGGGAACTGAACCAGGATCTCCTGTCCTGGTTCATAGGTCAGTGCTCAAGCACTGGGCCACACGGGCTGGGCAGCTGGAGATTCACACACAAGCTCACCACTCATCGTGTCCCTGGGGAGGCGGAGGGAGCCATTGTGCTCAGGTCAGTCCTAGCTCAGAACCCAGCTGACAACAGGAAGCAAAGTGGGGCAGGCTCACAGCGACTCAGCTCGCCAGTCCGCTTCCCCGACCCCCTTAACCTGTTTTCCTTTCCATTTAGGGAACGTGTCCCGCAGCGTCAAGAACACGGAAAGGTCAGTGTGGGAGCTGTTCCTCCTCTAATCACAGTCCCTCCCTCCTAAATGCTTCCCGCACTCCCTCTGTGGCAGCATCTGCTCCCTCTTCTGCGGCAGGAAGCGGGCCCAGGTTGTGTGGTCCCGTCGTGTTTCCAGGGCCTGGGTGGGCTCTGGAGAGGCCGTGGCAGAAGAGGGGCCTCCGTGCGCGAATCTAGAGCTGCTGGGCTGGGGCTTCTGAGCGCCAAGCCCCCCTGCGGTCACGCTGGCTCCTGGTCCCGGCTGCGCCCGGCCATCCGGGAAGTCCGCGTCCTCTCCCTCTGATTCAGCCGGGAGTGGGCAGTGGAACAGCTGCCTGCTGCGCTCAGAAATGCCAGCTCCCTGAGTCTGACAAACAGGCAGATTGACAGGCCGGCTCCGGCTCCTTTGGGACAGCAGGAGACTCTCCTCCGGGTGTTTCTCCCAGAGATGCTCTTTCCGTGGCATTTACTCGTCCACAAGCTGGAGCTAAAGAAGAGTCACTTGGCACCTCTCGTGCTCGAAATTCAAGGAAACCTATGGGGGAACGGATTGTAATAACTGTCTCCGTTAATTAGACAAGGACTCGCCCCGAAAGAAGTGATTACCGGGAGAAAGGCAGCTTTTTTCGCTTGGAAGCTGTGAGGTGCCGGCTTCTTTGAAGATTCGGTGGCTGTTAGTTCTGCCCAGGCTCCCGGCCCCTTGGACAGGACGTCTGGCCCCCGAGGAGGGTAGAGCTGATTCTCGAAGCCTCCGAGATTTGGTGCCCTGTGAGGCCAACTAGCCAGGAGGGGGATGAATCTCCTGATTAACTGCCTCCAGATTTGTCCTTCCAGAACCCCTTGGCCCTGTTTTGTTCATGAACCAGATTTCACCTTTGATTTTTTTTTTTTTACCATCCTTCTGCTAAGATCTCTAAACACTCTTTAGTTCTCTCCCTCTCTCGCTCCTCCCCGACCCCTCCCCCACTCCAAAATAAGCCAGGGTCCTCCTGGGGGATTCTGGGAGTGTTCGCAGGCCCCTCAGGACTGTGACCTGGGAGGAAGGGTCAGGGAAGTATCTTTTAGCAGAAAGCAGCAGGGGCCGGATTTCTCCCCCTCAGTGCAGTGTCTGGTGGTCGATTCCAGCCTCCGGGACCCACTTGCAGGAGGCTCCTCTCCTACAGAGGGAGGACATGCCAGGCCCCCGGGCACCCTGCACCTCTGCCCCCGAAGTGGACCTCTCCCAGGGCGAGGCGGGGAGGTGGGAGCGGCTGCCTCACTTTCCCAAGTGGGAAGGCGCACCTTGGGGCAGCACGTGTTCCGGCTCTGAGAGGCCCTTAAGCTTTGGGGGCCTTGCCTCTCAGCACTTCCTGTGTGCTGCCCCGCGGGCCCTGCACCGGAGCAGACGGATGGCTAATGTGCTCCCTCTTCCTTCCCAGTGGCCACACTGAAGGCACCGTTCCTCAAAATCGAAGATGAGAGCAGGTGAGTGGGGCCTCCTCCCCTCCGCTCTCCCCCACCAGGCCTGCACGGAGGCCAGGTCCCACGCTGAGCCCCTCAGCCCTGCACCCGTGTCTTCCCAGAAGCCACTTTCTCCCGTCATGGAGAAGTCTCGCGTTACCAGGGGAGACCTCTGAGGGCAGCTGGCACTCCCCTTGGTATGAATCAGGTCAATGATCCGGTGTGTGAATTACCTCCTCCTTACGCTCTGCTTTTATGATCTCATTTGCTCCTAGGAGTATGCTAACGCTTTATGGAATGGTTGTTAGACCCAGTGCAGGACTAGTGCAGTCATCTCAGCGGAAGTGAGGGTGCTGGGATTCCCTTGCATTTGAAACGCTTCTGTTTTGCTGTGCAGGGCCCTCTCCTGGCACATGCCATCTCTCAGTGGGAGAGAGTCCCTCTTCCTAGTGGAGAAACTGAGGTCAGAGGAAGAAAGACTTGCACATACCCACTTCACTAGCTGAGGCTAGAAGGTATCCTAACTGTCTCATCCGGCAGCCTCTCCACTCTGCCCTGTCCACCATCAGGGCCCCTTTGTACCTGGAGCAGGAGAGTCCATTGGTGATAAATCTGATGAGCTGTGAGCCACTGGGGTTATCGCTGACTCTTCAGTAAGCGCTAGATCAAAGTCCCAAAGAAAAGGGTTTTGAAAAAAGAAAAAGCTCGTCTGGACCTGGGACCAGAATTTTCTGGGTCCCTCAGCCAGATGCAGGGCAGCTAGAGACCCAGCCCTATGAGCCTGGCATGCCTGCCCATCCCCCAGATGGGCCTGCATTCCCTTCTCTTTCCCCTGCACAGCACAGTACAGACGTGGCGTTGGTGGCCCAGAAGTGAGTGGAAAGAACATAGGACGGCAATGAGGTGCTATCCCGTCCAGTTCCGGTGGGATGGGGTCCATGTCTGCCAATCCCAGCCCCTTCACAAGCAGTTAAACCTAAGTCATCATGACTCATACGGCAGCTGAAAGACACTGTCAGTGCCTCAGGACCTCTCCCCGCACATGGCAGCACAGGTGATGCTGCTGTCGCTGGAGCGGGTACACGTACTTGCATGCCCCGAGCATCAGAGGCAGCAGAGGAGATCCAGGGGAGCTGAGGTTCCTTGTGATGCTTTTTATGTGCCCTTCTGAGTCAGGTGCTCTTCAAAGCCTGGTAGCCTTTCCAACCTCAGCATCCAGCCTCCTAAGCAGGAAGAGAACAACTTTGAAGAGAAAGAAACAGGGTACCAGGGCTGTGGAGGGCACCCTTTTCCCTTTAGGGGTCCAGGAAATCTGTTCGCTCCTGAGGCCACAGGGCTGACACTGCACTCACCCGGAGCACAGGCCAGGGCACCAGACTCAGGGTGCCCGCAGTTACATCACGGGGTTTGCTGAGTGTCCACACAGGATCTGATCTGGCTCCGAGCTGGGACGTGGGCAACCTGAGGCAGACACCAAACCACCCAGTGTGGTCTGACCCTCCGTAACCTGCACTGGCCTCCTTTCTGTTCAGAACTCTCTCCTGCAGAGGGGGCCGAGGACCAGCCCAGAGCAAGTTCCGCTCTTCGTGGAGCAGGGACGTCACTGCCGTGGTTCAAACATCCTTCCGTTTAGATTCTGTGAGGCTAGAGTCCCCCAAGATGGTTCTGGGTCGAGAGACAAAATGGAAGGGCCGGGAGATGGGGCTTCCGGTCTGACGTTGGCCGCATCCTGGCTGTGAGCTCTTGGCGGGTTCCCGAGCCTTTTGTGCTTCATTTCCCGACTTGTCCACTCAGCTCGGAGCTCGGGGTGGCGGCAGCATTCAGATGAGGCAGGAGGAAATAGACGGGAGAGCATAAGTAATTTCACCTGCTAAGGCTGATGGGAACTTTGTTCTAGAACCTAAAGATGTGCGGATTTGGGTTGGCACCCTTTCCTTCCTACTATAGTCACCGTGGAGGTTTTCTGTGTTTCAGGAAGTTTCGTCCTTTCCACCATCAGTTTAAATCCTTTCCTGAACTTTCTTTTCTGGGACCCAGAGATGCAAGTCCCTTTGAGGCCCTGACGCTCCCGGGCAGCTCGCGCCATCCCAGGTGGGTCTCTCTGGTTCCTGATTAACAAGGGCTGGTGACGGGTCAAGGTCCTTCCCCTCAGGGACCTGCTGCTCAGGTTGGGAATGGCCATGTGTCGGCTCCTCAGGCGAAGTCTGTTCTGGGAACTTAGCCCAGAGAAGAGACACACTAGGAGTGTTCATGCGTTTTACTTGGTGTTCTCCGGCCCTACTGAAGACTGACTGGTGTCCAGAGGACAATGGGCTGGTTTCTGAAACTCAAATCTACAGACCACCTTCCATCAGAGTCCCCAGAGGTCCATGAAAAATGGTTTCTGGACCCACTTCACACCTCCAGAATCACAGTCTCTGATTATGGAGCCCCAAAAGCTGCATCCTCACGAGCTCCCTGGCGATTGGACGCACATGGAAGTGGCATACAGGCACACTGGTGTTCCTGCTCTGCGGGTGTGTGACGTGGGCCTCACTGATCGGAGGGCAGAAGGAATGCGGCTTGCTGCTGGACTAGGTGCCTCTGGGACCCTTTTAATTTCTGGGCCACAGAGTTCAAAGGCCAGGAGGACAGCACAGAGCAGACTCAGCCGAGAGGACCCAGGGCCGAGGAGAGCCTGCGTGCCCACCAGCACACAAAGGATGCAGTGCCCATGGGAGGGAAAACAGAACGGGGTGTGACAGGAGGCAGAGGGGAGGAAGAAAAGAAGGAGCTGAGGTGAAGTTCAGGTGCCCTTCACTCTTCTTTTCTAGAAGGCGCAGGGATACCAGAGAGCCAGCCAGGGGCTGCGGGCTGGGGCTGGAAGGTGGTGCTAGACCTGGGAATAACAGAGCAGCCTCGAGATTATAGAAGGAAATGGTGAACGATGAAGCTTTGGTACTTGCATGTGAGAAACAGAGGGAGGGCTTTGGCCAGGGTTGTGTGTGTGTGTGTGTGTGTATGTGTGTATGTGTTTGTGAGAGAGAGAGAGAGAGAGAGAGAGAGAGAGAGAGAGAGAGAGAGAAATCTGGGAGGAAATGTTTGATTTTTTTTATTTATTTAAAAATGATTATTTTGGCCCTGGCCGAGTGGCTGAGCTAATTGGAATATCACCGCGGACACCAAAAGGCTGCAGGTTTAATTCCCAATCAGGGCACGTACGGGGAGGTAACGAATCAGTCTCCCCCCCCCCCCTCTCTCTTTTCCCTTTCTCTCTCTAAACATATCCTTAGGTGGGGATTTAAAAATAAAAGATTATTTTGGTTCCAAATCAAGCATTACAAAGGGTTTAGCGTAGAGTCTCCCCAGCCGCCCTCTAACTCCAGATCGCGGGTCTCTCTCCAGAGATGGCCTCCGTCCACAGAGGTGCGTCCTGTCTGTGTGCCCTCGTCCTCCCTAAGGGGCAGCACAGTGTTGGCTGTGCTCATCTTGCTTTGGCCACTTACTGTGTCTTAGGTTAATTTCTGTTAGATGGCGGTAGTGAATAGTCTTGTTAAGGAATATTTGGTTGTGTAAGTATATTTGCAGAATAAATTCCTAAAAGTGGAAATGCTGGGTCAAAGGGTACCTGCATTTATAATTTTGATAAATGCGGCCAAATTGCTTTATGTGGAGATGATGCCAGTAACCGCTCTGACGCCCCCTCCCCCCCCCCCAGAGCCTGTTTCCACATCCTGTGGCTAACACTGAGCTGTCAGGCTTGTTGATTTACGCCAATCTGATAGATTAAAGACTGTTATCTCGGTGTGATTAGAATCTTCATTTTTTTCTCATTACAAATGAGGTTCAGTCTGTTTTGATGGATCGTTTGAATTTCTTTGTGTGCATCTTCTGCATGTCATTTGTCCATTTCTCCATTCAGTTATTAATCACTTTCGTAGGGATTTGTAAGAAGCCCTTCCTATGGCAGGGAAATGCTATCGTGCTGGTTATAAATAACACGGCCCCCACAGCCCCCAGTTTGTGGGTTGTCTTTCAACTTTGCTTGTTTTCTGCTGTGCATACATTTTTAAAAATGTGCATGTAGTTAAATTTATCACTTTCCCCCTATGTTTCTGGGTTTTGTGTCATACTTAGAAAGTCCTTAAAGGGGAGTATTTTAGATTTGTTGAGTTCGCCCATAGCAAAAGGGAACTGACATTCAGTTAAAGAGATTTGAAAGTCCTTAGCTAAGATTGCGGCTGTGCAAGGGACCTGTAAGCGCAGGGACAGACCGAGTCTGGGGACATTTGAGGTGAAGAGGTCAAAGGCAGCACAGCCCCTTGTTACTGTTGAGGCCGGTCCCCTCTCATTTTTAGGTCGAATGAACAAGGGTCTGGGTTTGAGCACAGAGCTAGGACTGTTCTTCCAAGAGTTCTCGCTGTTAGCCGCCACCACCCGTTGTCACCTGTGGTTTGTGATGTGTGGGCGGAGAAGGGCAGAGCTAGGACAGGGTGCCCCTGGGAGGTCTCAGCTTCCTCGTCGCCTCCCCTGCCATCCCTGCGCCTGCCCAGCTCCGTGGCGGTTCCGGGCCCTGAGCAGTGACCACCTTCCCCCTGTACCCTCCCCAGAGGACGCAAGGACCGAGAGCCGCGCCTCCGCTCGGCCGCCCGCACCGCGCCCAGGAGGAAGAGGGGTTACTGCGAGTGCTGCCAGCAGGCCTTTGAGGAACTCCATGGGGTGAGCCCCCCTGAGCAGTTGCTTCCCAGACTGTTCTGAGAGCCATTCCCGCCCAGTCTCCCTGGTGTGGCGGGGTCTGCTGGCCGCCTCCCCTGTCTGACGCTGTGCCTCCTCTCAGCACCTCCAGAGCGCGCGGCACCAGGCCTTTGCCCTGGAAGCCCACCCGTACGCAGAAGTCGATCGGATCATCGCCCAGCTCAGCCACAGCTTTGCAGAGATCCCCTCCCCCGCCAGCCTCCCCAGGTGAGCGCCCTGCAGGCGCCCGGGCCTGCTCCGCCCTCGCTCCTCTGCGGCTGCCTCTCTAGGTGGGAAGGGACCTCAGGGGTGACAGCATGGGCCAGGCTGTGCTGTTTTTCCCTTCCCTCACCCTTCTTTCCAATCACCTTCTGTCTGGTTTACTCTAGAAGTGGGTGGGTGGGAGAGACCGCCATGGGTGTTTAGCCCGCTGGGTTGGAGCCAGACCAGAGGGCAGCTCCCTTCCTGACGCGAGAGCCTTGCCCCAGCCGTGGGGGCTGCGAGGGCCTGGCTTTCTAGAAGTGTGGAAGGGCACTCTGGTGGGTGAAGAGCAAGGTCTTTCTGCCTCTAGAAGTTATCCCAGAAAGGGATTGCCAGGGTTCCGTGGAATTCCAGGGTTCTCTGAGCCTCCACCAAGGAAGCTCAGCCCACGTCTCCCCCTCAGCCTCTTCCTGGGCCCAGCCTGGACGGCCAGGCTCGGTGCTGCCACCTCCACCCACCGAAGGGCCCAGCCTCCTCGGGGAAGTTATTAAATGGAACAGCCTGGAACTTCAGGCCATCCCTGACCACAGGCCCAGAGCTAAGAGAGGGGCAGGCAACACTGGCCACTGCTGCCAGTCAGACCCCAAGAGCGAGCGTTTCCTGGGGCCCCAGAGCGGGCAGGTCTCTTTGGCACCCTAAATCCCAGCAGGGTAGCACCGTGCACACCCCACCCTGCCCTCAGCAGGCCCGGGAGGACCCCGCTTACTGCCCACAGGGTACGTCTTTCCCCACAGGCATCCAGGCTCCCCGGCTTCGGATCGTGACCCTCTGTCTCCTGAGACTGCACCTCCCGGCCAGCCCCCCTGTGGCCGGGCAGCATCTCCCAGGAGGAGGAAGGAGGACGACCACCCGGCCCCTGGCATCCACCAGCAGGATGGGCTGGCGGGCGGCGGGGAGTCACCAGCGGAACGCATGGGGGCTGGTGAGACGCTCGGACCAGGAGCGAGCTGCCAGGAGCTGGGGGGCTCAGTTGATGTTGCTATGGACCCCCCAGGGGCAGTGCTGTCCAGAAGCCCCACTTCTCGCTGCCTCCTGACCAGCTCTGACTTTGCCGACCTCTCCTCTGGCCCAGACCCGGCACACGTCGGCCACAAGCGGAAGGTTCGGTTCCCCAGTGGCAATGCCGGGAAGAGGCCAGGGGTCTCCTGGCCACAAGCCTCCCTCTCTGTCTCCGGAGCCCTCAGCCCCTGTGGCACCGGGACCACCGATGGCAGACATCTCTTCTCCCTGTCCCTCCCAGGCCCCGAGTCCAGGCCTCTGACCTCCCCCCTGCCCTTGTGCTACCCACAGACCAGCCTCTCCCTCCCAGACCCCTTCCCCTGGCGGCCCTCAGACAGGCCAGCAGAGCTGTGGGCCACACAGCCCCCCTGGCCTGGAGGAGGAGACTCCCCGGGATCTGAGGGCTCTGAGTGTCCAGCCCCCGGCCCCAGCCCTCAGCAGACTGACCAGCTTCCCAGCTGCTCGGCAGCTCCGGGCCTGCTGTCCGCCCACCTGCACTCAGCCGCAGGCACGTAACCCCCAGGGGGGCTGCAGAGAGCAGACTACCTCCCCCTCCTCTGCCTTCAGTGGGGGAGCCAGCCTCTGCCAGCCCTGCCTCCCTGTGTCCCAGCACCAGCAGCAAACTGCTCCTGTGCGGCCCCGGGGCACGCAGCTCTTCCTGGGGCCGGACAGCTCCCAACGCGAGGGCCAGGGGCACAGGTATGAGTTATACCCCTGCTGACGGCTGCTCACCCAGCCAGGCAGCCAGATACACCGAGGGGCAGCCCGGCCTCACTGATGGAGCCAGAAGGCCAAGTGAACAGCTGTTGTCATGGCCAAGTGCAGTGTGGACCGATCGAGTCCTCCCACCCACCCAGTCTTCAGGTGGAACCGAGCGAGCCAGCTTGAGGGCTGCCCTCTTACCCAGATCTCCAACCATGTTCCCGACCGGCAGGGATCTGTGCTGGGCTAGCCCGGCCATAGCCAGCTGCCCATTTGCCAGGAGGCAGAGGCAAGGCTGGCACAGGAAGGGATCACAAAGAAGCTGGAGCAGCAGGAACCCTGGCTGGCTTCCTGCCTCGCTGCAGAGCCCAGGGTAGGTGTCCCCACCCCCACCCTCCTTTCACACAAGCATGTGGCTCTCCTGCTTTCCAAAATGCCTGTTTGTCCCCTCCCCCAACACCCCACGCTGCGCACACAGATCTCAGGAACATATGAAGCAGAGGAGGGGCTCGGCTGCTGCACTCAGAGCTCCCTGCTGCACTAAGTGGGCCCAGCGCTGACCTGCCCCCTGAGGCCCAGACACGGCAGATGCCCTCCAGGCACAGACCCCCTTGGCTCTTCCCCGCCTCGGTCTGGGCTGCCCACCAGGGTGCTGCTCCAGGGTCAGTGGTCCACCTGCCAACCTCCCCATCACCTACTTCCCTCCCTCCTTCCCCGAGGACCTCCCCCCATTTCTGTTCAGCCGAGCCATTAATCTGGAGATGGGGATGAGTTTGCTATCGATTGTTTGGCCACATTTTTTTATTATTACATTTTGTACTGTGGTTCTTCTCACCCTTCTCTGCTTCTGTGTGTGTGTCTCTTTAAATGTTGGAGCTACCAGAAGCCTGGTGCTATTTTGTTCCCGTTTCGGAGGAAGAAGTGGGGGCCTCGCTGCGGGTGAGGACCTGAGTTGTTAGTTTGGAAATAGAGCAAGTGTGTGCACAACCCTCCCCGAGGTCATGTGAGGCCTTTTATGCCATTCCTGTTTCATTTCACAATCTTGAGTCGGAAACTGTAAATAAATTTTTTAATAACAAATAGCTAAGAGATGGGGCTGGAGAACAGTGTTGGGCCTTCCTCTGCCCTCCAGCGACCTGAGGCAGGGCTCAGGGCCCCGTTGATGGGGACAGTAGCTGACTAGCAGGACAGGAGCCTCCTGCAAGCGAGCGAGCCTGTGAGGGCCACCCTCCCCAGAGGCCTCGCTCCCAAGGGCTGAGGGCAGGTGGGCCTGCGTCTCTCCGGTCTCGGGGTCCCTCACATGGCTCTGCTGTTCTCTGCGTGGCGGCCTGTGGAGGGCATGCTCAGCACCCCCTCCCAGGAACCCTCTCTGCCGAGGACTCTGCTAACAGGTCCTGGACAACCCGCTTCCTCTGGCTCCTGAGGTGACACATGGGGATGCCCTGTCCCCCACGACACAGCGCCCCTGGCTGAGAGGTCCCCCACCTCTCCCTCAGGCCATACATCCACGTACTGCTGCTTCCAAGACACCAGGTTTTGACACCTTGTCACCATCTGCCCAGGGCCTCCCATCCAACGGTGTGACTTTCCCATCTCACCGCTCGTGACCTTGGATATCACATCTCAACCAGGTCAAGGCCCAAGGCTACATCTCGCCTAGCTGTGTCTGTTCCGGCCTCCAGGATACAGACGCAGAGGGCACCCAGGACAGAGGGTGCTGCTGACATACTGGGCCCTCCGTGGCTCCTTGACAGGGGACTTAAAGCCTCCTCCTCCCTCCCTCAGCCAGTGATCTTCACTCGTACTCGGCAGGCTCTGACGCATCCTGCTTTCAGAGGAAGTGTCCCTTTCCCTAAACCCAAGTCAGCCCACCCTGTGTCCGCCCCACCCCTGCTGGCCTTGTCCGCTTCCTCCTCGGGTTCCCCAGCTCTCCTGAGAGCTCCAGCCTGGAAAACACTCGCATTGATCCAGTAGCTCGAGGAAGGAGTGCTCCCTCCTGTTCCCTGGCTCCCTCCTTGGTCTACAGCCATAGCCGCCTCCTCTCACCTCCCACCCCCTCCAGACCTCCATTGTGGAAGCACCGCTGGGACTGAACATTCCAAGGTCACTGGGTAGCCTGCTAATTACCAAAGTCCGGTTTCTTGTCTCCTTTCCCATTTTATTTTATTTTATTTTATTTTATTTTATTTAATATATTTTATTGATTTTATACAGAGAGGAAGGGAGAGAGTTAGAGAGTTAGAAACATCGATGAGAGAGAATCATTGATCAGCTGCCTCTTGCACACCCCCTACTGGGGATATGCCCGCAACCAAGATACATGCCCTTGACCGGAATCGAACCCGGGACCCTTCAGTCCCCAAGCCGACGCTCTATCCATTGAGCCAAACCGGTCCCGGCTCCTTTCCCATTTTAATGGGTACCTTGGCTCCCCCTTTCCTAGCAACCCCCGATTAGCCTGGTCGCCCTTCCTCTCCAGCCTCCCCCTCCTTACTACGTGCACCCATCAGCATAGGCTGGGATGTCTATGGCTCCAATGAGCCCTCCAGCCCTCACTGCTTCCCCACAGGAGGGTCTGGGACCCTTGTTCTTACCTGTAGACACGGGCTCCTTCACTTGAAGTTATGACCTGAATGCGTAGCTCTGGCCTTGACCTAAATTCTAATCCACCTGGGCTGGATAGGAAGGCAGATCTTGCCAACACCCCAACTCGCACTGATTTGGGGCAAGTCCCTTCACTATGAGCCTGTTCCTTCTCTAAGAGGGGATTGGAGGACATGATTTCAAGGGTTCTTCCAGCCCCTCACACCCCTTCCGTCCTGCTGCCAACACAGACCCCCTTACCTGGTAACTCATTCCTGGTCCAAGACTGGCTGCCTTCCCACTGTCTTGTCTCCTGGCATTCGCTAACACCTGCCCCCTCGGCCAGCCACGCCAACCAATCCACACCCTCCTATTCACTCTGCTGACTGTCCCACACCCACCCAGCCTCCTGGTATTCTCTGCATGCCCCCTCCCCCTCCGCCGGGACCCCATCCAGGCAGGCTGATCCGCTTATGTCTGACCATAGTGAGTCTTCTGCTCTTGGTCTCTGGCCTGGAATGCCCTCTCTTCAAGTTTATATTCCATATTCTCTCTGAACCCTGTCGTGTAAGCCTTCAGCCACAGAGTTCTGAGTTCAAACTTGTAACCTTTGGCAAACTCCTGAAACTCAGTTTTCCTCATTGGGAAATGGAGGTAATAGTAGTTGCCGCCTCACTAGGAAGTCGCAAGAATTAAATCAGATTGTTTGTGAGGCCCTGGGCTAGAGCGTGGCACTCTGAACCCTCCAGTAAACACCATCACCATCTGCACACGCATAGCGTGCACACTTGTGACCTAGACATTTCAGTAGCGTTCATTTTCACTCACCTCCCACCTCGATGGCTCTCTGTCTCGCAGCCTCATCTCCATGCTAACTCTTGAGGAAGTTGCTCGGGGCTCTGTGAGTCACCTCCTACCGGGGTCCCCACTTTCTGATGGGTGGATTCCCAGAACTCTAGGAGGATCCCTGAGGAGGGAGAGGGAAACCTGCACACCCTCCCCTCAGCACGCGTGCCTTCATTCCTGGTCCAAGAATGAAGCTCTCAAAGGATGGGGTCCCCCCCCCCCCCAGGATTTTGGCACCCTGAATGCCTCCAACCCCCTGAGGCAAGAGCTGCAGAGACTAAAGAAGGAGGCCAGTCAGAAAAAGGGGGGGGGGGGGGGAGGCTCCCTCAGAGGAATATTCAATCACAAGAGCGGTTCTCCACTGACGCTGCTGGGATCCGGGTGAGAACAATGAGTTCCCTGTCCCAGCACTGTGGGCCTTTCTGCTGCTCCCCACCCACCAGCACCACCGCACCAGGCACAGTCTCTCCCTGCTCTGGGCAGAGTGGGCCCTAGGTCCCCTAGCCATAAAGGAGTCCCTTGGGCCCTGGACTTTCTCCTTGGCACGAAGGCCAACATGGATGGAGCGGGCCCCTTCTGTGCACCAGGCACTGAGGATAAATTAGTCCCGAAGCTCGAGTCCCCGGCCGCTCTGAGGCTCATCCGTTCCCTGGGAAGGAGGCTTTTCACTAATAAGGAAACTGAGACTCACAGCGGTTGGGGGACTTGCTCAGTGTCACAGCCATAACCGGGATTGGCATCCCAGCCCCCGTGCCTGGTGTAGGCCCCACAGACTGGGCTCAGGGCCTGGACATCCTCCGTGGGCAGGAATCGCCACCCGTCGCTTTGCCCCAGGACTGAGGCAGCTGAATCCCCACCCCACCCCTTACCTGCAGCTGCTCGACTAGCTAGGTCTTGGCTCGCCATCAACCCAGCGTGGCCCCGTGCAGAAAAACTGGAGGGAGCCGGCTATAGGGCAGGAAGAACCAGGGGAGGCGGCCCCAGGACTTCCCGTGGTGGGGCCTAAGGGAGGTCGGGACCAGAGCCTAACAGCTTCCTCAGCAGGAGTGACCCTGAGGGTGACAGCAGACAGGGACCACCAACCTTTACTTTCCGGGTTCCCAGGCCTCTTGGGAGAAACCCAAGGAGCCCGCCATTGCGGTGGGGTGAGGTGGGTTTAGTGCATGAGGGAATCGCAACAGGCTTCCAGCCTGGGAGAGGCTGCGCTGTGGCAGAGCTGACATGGAAGACAAGAAGGGGGCCTCGGGCTGAGGAGTGGGATGTGGGCAGATGTGGGCCAAGATGCCCAGTGGGCCTGCTTCAAGCTGGGAACTCGGAAAGATAAGGAACTCTCGGGGGCCAAGACCATAAGAGTGAGCCTCCACTGGAGCTGGCCCAGAATGCCA